TGTTAGGTACAGTCAGCTGGAACGCCCTTACGCCCGGGTTCCGTAACCTTAATACGAAGAGCCGTTTAATATGAGTAATGCGACGTCTCATCTCATCATTTCACTCTAATACTCGCTCGCTGAGTCGCTGCCTGCAATCCCGAGTCCTATACTCGTACGGAGGTAAGCAGGCTTCGTAATGGGGAACACTACTCGAGTACTGTATACGAAGTACGAAGTACGTACTGTATAGAGAGTTTAAGGTTAAACTCGCACGACTGTCCGAAATAAGGTAAGCTCTAAACCATCTGACGCCTCCCCTCTAACTTGTACAGGCATCAAGCATCCGCAAATAGTAATAAAAAGCCCAAGTCCGCCCATCCACTTGCCGAACATCTTAATGCTAATTATGAATTATTAATTCATTAATCAATTAATTAATTAATCCCCTGCTCGCGTTTTAACGTCGTAACAAGCTTAATTCGCACCTTGTTCCGCTTTCAAGGCTAGTCCGCGTACTGTACATGTCATGTTCCCAAGGATCTAAGGATGACGCGGCCCTCGCTTCGATTTACCCCTTATGCTATATAGAAAACCATACTACTATATGAAAATTGAAAGAAAGCTTGTCATGGCATGGACGGTTTCCACTTTGCTAATCCATCTACTTAGTAAATGAATAAACACTACTAACAGGGTAGGTACTATATGCTTAAAGTTATCCGTTTACGATTCATAGATGCGTAGCAACTTGGTCCGGAATACTCGGCGAGGATATTATATCGCTAAGCGGAAGCGTCAGCTGATACGGTAGATACTACGGCACGGGTCTATAGACTTCTGGACTCCCACCACTCTAATAATCAAGAGGCCTTCTGTATAGTATATGATTACTCCGTTCTATAGGCTGCAGCAAAAAGAGACTGGCTGGATGGATATGGATATACCTAATAAGCAATGTGCGTGAATTCTTGAATCTTCATATAAAATTCAAAAAAACTCGAATTCCAATTGGTGAAGAAGGCGAGAAGCGAGCGAAGAAGGACGAACCGACTATTAAACCCTTAGGATCAGGGATTTTTACGAAAGTGCCAATTAGGGGCCACGAAGGAATTAGGGGCCACGAAGAATTAGAGTACGCGCCAGCTAAGCCAAGCCTTCCTGTTCAATTAACCTTAAATAGCATGACAAATTTAGAGCAGCTGGTCGTGTGATTCGCTACAATGACGAGTACTTGATACTTTACAAGCATTATATGTAATTTATACGTACGTACTCTATACATTTAGTTACGGCTTTGAATTAAGATTATCTTTTCCGATTAATATAGATATTAGCGTGCCTATTTATACATTCATTGGATAAACCCCGAGATTCTTAAATTCTCGGTCAAAAGAGGTTAACTACTCCCACAATCGCACTTCATTTCTATAAAGATACTTACTAGCTTTACCCCACGTTTCTAATAGGAGTTGCTCCGTATAGTATAGAACAACTTCCTCCTAGTAGGTAGGACTATGACTATGATTCCTGCGGGGGTTCAAGTTGTCTATGATGAAGTGCTTTTAGAAAAGTTACTTTTTCAAACGCTTCGGGGGGAGAAAATCTATCGGGGAATAAATCACTATCTAAGTTCAGTTCATTTCGATATGAGTCTTTCTGAGACTAGGAGAGCCGGAGTCAACCCGCATCTGAACTCTTATGCCCAAGTATATATATCCACTTATACTAATATCTTCTACTCGAGCTTTTACTCGGGCTTCTACTCGGGCTTCTGCTCGGGCTTCTAATTTTACACTATCCCTATTTAGATCAAGGACAATCCTACATTCAACTTATATCCACTTGATCTAATTATAAAAATTTTAAACTTTAGAAGACGTCTAACTTATAACTTTTTCTAGTTACTCAAAAGGATTTCCAGGTACTATTATTAGGTTCAAGTCGTTTATAAAAGTGGAGGGAAGAGGCTCGTTCAGTGTGACTAGATAAAGGTTCACCGCACCGCAGCCTGCTAATTACAAGGAAGGAACCCCGAATCAAGTTAACCTTTAAGTATAAACGAGGTGTAAGATTTTTTTTTCATCTTAAGCTTAAATAGAAGTCGGAAACTAGGTATAGTCGGGTTCCTATTATTAGTAAAATAGCACGAAAGTGTTGGAATATCTGTTTCGAATCGCGCTTTGATATAGAAAAGGGACGGACATGCCGGACGATCATTCTTTTTAGGATAAAAGGCGGATTTCTTTCACATATTCTAGTCTACAAGTACTTGGAACTACTGATTCTATGCGGTAAAATGTATCCAGCAACTACTAAGTAATGGATGATCTGCATATGAAGGGATTGGTTAACGTATTCTCCTTTTACTTGACTTCAGTGACGTGGATAAACGTAATAGAATCATAGCAGAGTCATTCTATATATATCGCCAGCACCGACCCTCTAAGCGCCGCCTGATTAGGTAGGCATTCGCGCAACTAAAGTGGAGGTCACAAACCCAGCCCCAAGTTTGAGTTTCGAGAGAGTTGACAGAAATACGTTGAATCTCTAAAGAATAGAATTTTCTATCTCAATCTTATTTCGTGGCATATAGGTTTCTATGATCATTTGAAGTCCAGACGAATGTGTTAATTAAGGCGTGTCGAATTCAACACAGAGGCTATTAGGCGAATCGTCGGTTATATAAGGCTCGATGATCACTCCTTACTAAAAAGAAGTAGTATTATAGATCACGTCTTCTGGTCCTTTACATTGGATGAGCTGCGCCGTTGGTCTAATACTATTGGAATAGGGGGGTGAGAATTAAGCGAGCGCGTGAGTTCCCTGCAAACCAGTATTGTGAATCAACTACAAGTATACAATTTATATATAGTCACAGACTTCTGCAGAGAATAAATACAAGTCTCGAATTCACATTATGTTCGCAACCAGAGTTTTCTGGATAGATATGATTATTCAAGTCATGGGATCCAGAAAATACTAGGTGAGAATAAAAGCAACAGATCATATACTTTATCAAAAGAAGATATTATACTTCATATAGAAACGAGATACCTAAACCAACACCCCAATGTAAACATGGACCCTGTGCCTCTCTTGACTTTAGAGATACGTGAAGCGCCCGGCCCTTGCCGCAAATGCAGGATACGGATCAGACCAAGGATTCCGCTGGAACTAACATATGAATGATTGATTTCTGGTCTCACAGAAGGAGCATCTAATATTCGAGTACATTGCCAAAATGCCGAAACCGACTTGTAGAAATGGTAAGAGGGAGATATGATCAAAGTGCGCGTGAGAATGACGTTTGAGCTAGGGCATAATACCAAGAACGGAAGGCAAAAGAGCACCTAGAAACGACCACAACGTGTCGTCTTCAGCAAAGAGCAATGCATTAGACGTTCCTTGTTCTATAAATCGAAACTTAGACTCATAGGCAGCGCCGAGTCAAAATTGGTAAAATGGCTTCAATAACATTCTGCTCAAATCACCTAGACATCAAGAATCACTCTGGATCGATTCTCCTACACCTCTCTTCTCGTCAAACAGGCCCTTGTAGTTAACGCACCCACTAGATACCACCCAAACGAGTCCGGCGCAATAGTAAGGAAATAAACCAATTTATATACGCAACAGCTTCTACCGGCCAAAGATATACCTCTAAATCGAAGCATTCAGTTTCCGCTACCATCACGAGATCGAAACCATACTCAGGCCGTGGCTTAGCAAATCATACCACTTCCGGCTCTGCGAAAGCTGTGAGTTAAAAAAAGTCTATTATAATAGGGGTTGCTTTTAAAGGAGAGATGCCTACTGAGAAGCTAAATGGAAGCTAAAAGAGTAATTCACTAGAGTAGGAGAGGCGTGAAAGCTTTAGAGGGGCATAGGACTAGGTTGACAATAGATCACAGCGAGTATGAATCATGGAAAACGAACATGGAATACAATCACCCAGGTGCTACTACCATGACTCAATGAATAAGTGATGCAACATCTCTTCTCCCTAGATCAATCTCCAGCCCCCCGAAAGAAAACACCCACACTAACAGCACCTCACACAATCCACCGCATCCACACCCCTCACCATGTGCCCAATCATCCTAGTCCTCTGCGTGCGCTGCCGCAAGCAAGTCAGAACCGACATCAAACTATGCGCCGTCAAGTGCGAATTCAGCACCGCAGCCACGCGACACGACTTCCGTCCCCCCTGCCAGAACTGTCGGCCCAGTACACCTTTGTTTGAAAAGGTGGGGAGTCTTGCTAGGAAGTTGACGAGGACGGGAGAGGGGTCGATGAAGAGGAAGGTGGAGGGGGAAGCACCGCGGGGGGAGAAAGGGGATGGGAAGGCATATGAGGATTGAGATATGATGGATGGAAGTGCAGGCAGGGTGTCTGACGTTGGATTTACCTGGTTTTTAATGAGTAGCGGTATAGCTTTTGAGCGCGATAGTAATACATGGCAGTAATGCGACAGCTTTGAGATTAGCAGCCTTTGGCTAAAAACTAAAGTACTTCCGCCATCAAGTGATTACGGCGTGGGTGAGGGGTGTCGTTGAAACTCCCGTTTTTGTAAAAGCGGAACTGCTTGGACAAGATTCTGCATGGCTCATGAACTTGATGCGTTGGTTGCTTGAAGATGACTAGTAAAAGCCAAAGAAAACCTATTCATGACAGGGCTGCGCTGGGAATAGCATTGAGACTCCGTTGTATCCAGATCGATCCTCGCTTGCTAGTGAGGATGGGAGCTTCCGAGCATTCCGAAGCTCCTTGAAAGCTGTACTTCCAAGCATTGGCAGCCAAGATTTACGTTCAGAGTAAGGTATCGCAGGTCTTGGTATGATTTGGATTGGCGGATGATTGGAAATCACTCAACGGTGCCGGGCTAGTAGAAAATTCAAGTAGCATTCCTCACTCAAAGAGGGGTTGATGAAACTTTTCTATGCGCGCTAAATGTACTCATTCAACTTCTGTATCTCCAGATTTTCATACATCAAACACCTACGAGCCCCTGGTGCCCCTTACCAATAAGGTGGTCTCAATCCAGCAAAGTTCGATGCGAGCGAGTTGTCCCCACTGTCTTCCTTCTTTCTCTGTCCCGTCAACTGCATCTGTCAGTAGTTACCCACACTATGCTGGTGGCTTCATAGGACTTACTTCCAGCTGCACATGCCGATGAATATGCACCAACCAATCAACATAACTTTGCGCCTCGTTATTCCGATCCTCAACCAACAGTCGTGCGAACTCGTATTCAGCACCATCAAGTCCTTGCCGCGCGAGTTGAATGGTCAAAGCCTTGGAGCCTCGCAGGGTCTTCAGGTATTCGAGAATATTCCGCACTTGAGCGCTGAGATGTGTTTGAAGCACTGGTAAGGAGGAGCTATAGGGGTCTAATGACTTCAGACTGTCTTTGTCTTCACCAAACAAGTCGATGATTAAGTTTGGAGAGGTCTGAGCATGCATCCACAGGTAGCAGTTTTGACCGTTATCGATGAGGTATACGCCACCTTCCTCAATTCGCGAGAAAGAGCACCGTACCGCGGGGGGCATTTGAAGGTGGCCTGACTCAGCATTCGCGAAACCATCTTCTGGTGTGAGGTTGTGGATTGGAATCATTCGTGGGTAGAGGTATAGAGATAGTTCGAGAGCACCCATACTCTTGAGCATTCTCATGTCGTGTACTCTTCGATCGGTGGGCTCCTGTCCTCCTTTGAAAGCACGGGATTTGATGAGGCCGAGAATGTACATGCTGAACTCCTTGAGATTCTCAGGTAGAACCAATTGACCAGGTGGATGTGAGCCGGAGAAGTTTTTGCGATAGCCAGCCAGAATATCGACGGTCTTCTCTGTCAAGGCACCTCGGATGTCCTTTAGCGAACTGGAAATCATTTTCGTAGCAGCCTCCTTTGCAATCAAGCTATAAATGGCATCCTGATCGACAAACTTCATGCAATCCTTGGCATTATCGCTGACGCTCGCGATGACATTGCTGCATCTGACTCTCCGTTGACCATTGGCCGTTGTGTATAATAAAGCACTTTGGAAGTGAGCATCAAGCTTCGAGTCAAGTTTGCCATCGTAGCTGAACATGACACCCATAGCCTTGTCCGAATCAACAACCCCAAATTCGATGTCTGCTCCAAAGGTGTGCTGAATAAAATTGCCGTGATACGCAGAAACTTGCAGACCGTTGGAGCATCGGACCTTCATCAGCGCTTGATAGCCAGTCTCTCGCGTAACAGTGTGAGTGATCTCCTGGGACAATTTTGCAGTGTCACGAGGCGATACAAAGTTGGGATAATAAAACGTCTCTCCGCCCGTAGAAGCAGAGACGTGGCCTGACTCAAAGTTAGATCCGGGCCACTATTAACACGAGGGATCACTCACCAATGGTTGCAATGTCTAGATACCCACCACCGGGAGCAGCAAGAAAGAAGTCTACACCAACTCCCGCGGCGACCATCTTGTCCGCAGTTTTCCTCCAATTAGGGTGCTCGGTACTGAAAAGTTTCTTTTCAGCATCTCCTCCATGCTGTTTGCCATCATCACGAAGGAACAGACGGCCGGGTCCCCATGTTGGAAGGGCAGCCAGAGAACAGACTATTTTGCCGCCTGTTTTCTCAAGTGCTGCTAAGGCAGAATTCAAGGTGGGAAGAAGTGCTGGTTCGGGATTCTTGATTTGAGAAAAGAGTGCAGGGAGTTGGCTTAGTAATGATGTGATGTTTGACCTATACATGTGAGTAGAGAGCTTTTGAATCAACGAGAAAACATACTTGGCTTCGTAAGGATCTACAAACAGGCCTTCACTGAGGGGTAAGAAAGGATCTTCGATATCAGGCATGATCAGCATCTGTGCTTGCTCAAGGGCAGGCTACCAACACTGTCAGTGATGAATCTTCAGGCATATCAATAGAATACATACGTTCATGTTGTAGAAATGGATATCCTTGTCGAACGTGACAAAGCCGACTTTTGAACCTTCGGGTATTCTCCGCTGAAACTCGCCCTCACCCTCTGTCTCTGCATCTCCGTAGAGTGCGGCCAGAACACCTTCGCAGAATGCTTCAAGGAACCCTTTGTTGAAGGCCTCTTGGCCCACATCGATTAAGAATAGCCATCTCATTCCCACAGGTTCTTTTGACCAATATTCTTTGGGTACAAGGAATTCCACAGTCCCCCGCATCAACTCAGGTCTTTGTTCCCTGTCTACTCGAGCACCTTGAGGGGTAGTGGCGGAGAAGTACTCAGGGGGGACATCATTTGCGTAATTGCACATGTTACAAACGAATTTATTCCCCCCAGACCGGAAAACCATGAAGGGATTGATGTATGCTCGACATCTGTGACATCTTGGTGGCCCAATCTCGCCAAAGTCCAACACTGGTATCTCGAGTTCTCCAGGTTGTAAAGGGGCGAGGGGTTGCAGTAAAAGTCCGAGAGGTAATCCGAGGGAATGGAGAGCATCAGATGTAGAGGGAATATTGTTCATTGAGAGACGTGTGTATTTCGGAGAAGCATTTCCCTGGTCAAAGGCAACAAAGGGCACCGAAGCTGGTGGTGGAATATGGTGTTCGAAGGTTGGATATACATGGCTCAGGTAGTACTGGGAAAGGGCATCCCTCGACCTTGGTACACTTGGTATTTGGTCTGGATCTACCCTGCCCTGGGCGGAAGTTTGTACATTTGCAGCAAATCCCGAATCTGTATTCCCATTCCTGGAGGCAAACTCCGCGGGAGAGGCCGGATTCGCGGGGTTGAAAGGGGCGTTCATTTGTGCAGGGAACTGGGACATGAGGGGCGTAATAGGCTGCTGCTGGTTCAGGAATTGCCCTCCTGGGGATGGCATTGCAGAGGGGTCCGAATTCAGATACGCCGAAGGAGGGACTCCACCCTGCGGTATATCATTGAAAGCGGCGGAGGAGCCAGATGGTGCTTCGACCGTGTGATATGCGTGCCTGTCCTTCTTCTTCTTCCTCCCGTGTGTGCCCACCTCTCCTAAGCCCATATTGCCCATTTGTGCTGCCAATCCGGCATCTTGTGGTTGTATACCCTGATCTGGGAAGTAGCCTTGTTGCTGCTGCTGCGGCTGTTGGTAAGGTGTTCCTATTTGAGGAGTGCCGTATGGGTGGTTCTGTGCTTGGGGATTGTATGCGCCAGGTTGCGGTTGCTGGTATGGCGAAGGCGCAATTGGAGGTTGGAACTGATTTGGAGGCTGTTGTTGCCCTTGATTCTGGTTCCTTGGGTCATCGTTTGGCCCTGCCTGCCCAAGAGAGTGGTAGAGTTGGTAGTCGGACATTTTGAAGATGGTTGAGGGGGTATCTCCGTGCTCGTGGCGTGGTGCTTTGAGTCTTAAATGATTGGAGAACTCAGAGATGGCGTAGATTCATGACATTCATAACATTGCGTGAAAGGGTATAAACGGCGTTGTGGGAGATTTGTGGTGGTGGTGGTGTTGGTGGAGGCAGATGCCTTTTTTCAAGTTGTTGACACGCTTCCTAATGGGGGTGCTGTGTTCTATAATTTTGGCCAGAACCAGAGTCGCAGTAGATCCGAAGCACGGACAGGGCAGGGTTCGGCACGGCACGCTAAATATTTTGCCCAAGGGAAGACGCGACAGGCCAACTCTACTCTACGCTACAGTATTGTGCGTCCCTCAGAACAAAGGATAAACAGCGACACTATCAACAACATTCCCAGGGACATGAAGAGCACAAGAGCAGAAGAGCATGCGATTACGTGGGAATAGTTACAGTTCTATAAATGCGCTGATTCGCAGGTAGCGTAGCGCAAGTGGCCAACAAGGACGCACGAGATGTTCACCTTCTCCTCACTTCTCGGCGCGCAGTCCGAGTCACCAGCATCGCAATCGCTTTTGGAGCTGGATGGAGGCGTCAAGGTGCTGATCGATGTCGGCTGGGACGAGAGCTTCGATGTGGCAAAGTTGAAGGAGCTTGAGAAGTAGGTTGCAGTTTCCTTCCTCGTTATGGATGGATGGATGGATGGCTACGGGGCGCATCGAGGGAGGAAAAGGAATGGATGTATAGCAGAAGCAGAATCAGAAGACGTCAATCAAGATCCTTCATCTACACCTGTCTGCTGTCTGCTGTTTGCCTGTTTGCATTGCCTTGATCTTGTCTATGCTGCCCTCACTGCCTGGATATAGCCCCTTTCCCCTTGCCCCTCATGCTTGAATGTATGCTAACTCGAAATTTCACTCTAGACAAGTTCCAACCCTCTCCATCATCCTCCTCACACATGCGACTATCGCCCATCTCGCAGCTTTCGCCCATTGCTGCAAGCATTTCCCTCTTTTCACCAGAATACCCATCTACGCGACGACTCCCGTCATATCTCTCGGACGAACCCTCCTCCAAGATCTCTATACTTCAAACCCCCTAGCCTCTACCATAATCCCTCCCGAGTCTCTGACCGAAGCTTCATACGGATATTCGCAGTCAGCAACGGACCCGCAAGAGCAGCATATTCTTCTTCAACCTCCCACTGGCGAAGAAATTGCTTCATACTTTTCTCTCATTCATCCTTTGAAATACTCCCAACCCCATCAGCCGCTTCCCTCACCCTTCTCTCCACCCCTCAATGGCCTCACAATTACCGCGTATAATGCAGGACATACTCTGGGAGGAACGATATGGCATATTCTTCACGGACTGGAATCAATAGTGTACGCGGTAGACTGGAATCAGGCCCGAGAAAATGTCTTGGCTGGCGCAGCATGGCTTGGAGGAGCCGGAGCCGGAGGGGCAGAGGTCATTGAGCAGCTACGAAAACCTACCGCCCTAATATCTAGTAGCCGGGGTGGGGAGAGAGTCGCTCTACCAGGAGGTAGAGCAAAACGAGACGAGCTTCTGCTCGATATGATCAAGTCCTCAGTTGGCAAGGGGGGATTGTGCTTATTCCTACAGACTCCAGTGCTCGAGTTCTGGAGCTGGCTTATCTCTTGGAACATGCGTGGAGGACAGAATCAACCAGCGAGGATAGTCCTCTCTTATCAGCAAAGCCCTACCTCGCTAGTAGGAACATCCAGGCCACAATGCGCTACGCTAGAAGCATGCTCGAATGGATGGACGACGGGATAGTCCGAGAATTTGAAGCTATGGCTAGTGGACAGCAAAAGACTCAAAATGGAGATCAAGGAAAGCCAGGCGCCGGCCCGTTCGATTTTAAACACTTGAAACTTCTTGAGCGTAGAGGACACATCGACGGCATCTTGGCCGAAACAGATAATCTAGGACGGTCTGTTGGAAAGGTTATTCTTGCAAGTGACTCGTCTCTTGAATGGGGATTTTCAAAAGAAGTTTTGCGTAAGATCGTTGACGATCGCCGAAACCTCGTGATTTTGACCGAGTGGATGGGGAAGCCGGAGGTGGAAGGGACAAAGATGGGAATAGCGAGGACCCTGTGGTCATGGTGGGAAGAACGCCGGGATGGGGTAGCTGTAGAAACTGCTTCGAATGGCGGCGACTTGGAGCAGGTGTACGCTGGTGGGAGAGAAGTTGAACTTCGGGATGCTAAGAGGGTCGCCCTGGAAGGAAATGATCTTAACGTCTATCAGCAGTGGCTGGCGACTCAACGCCAACTGCAGACTACGTTACAAGCAGGTGGCGCCACAGCCCTCGAGTCTGCAGATGTCGTTGATGATGCCTCATCGGATTCATCTTCTGATTCTGAAGAGTCCGAGACTGAGCATCAGGGAAAGGCACTCAACATTTCGGCGACAATGGGCCAGGCAAACCGGAAGAAGATTGGCTTGAGTGATGAGGATCTTGGTGTTAATATCCTGCTACGTCGGAAAGGGGTATACGACTACGACGTTCGCGGCAAGAAGGGTCGTGAGAAGATGTTTCCCTTGACCATTCGGAGGAAGCGGAATGACGAGTTCGGGGAACTAATTCGACCAGAAGATTTTCTCAGAGCGGAAGAGCGAGACGAAGTTGATGGCCAGGATATGCGTGGCCAGCCTGGTAAATACGACACGAAAGATACCCTGGGCAAGAAGCGAAGATGGGACGATGTTGCAGCTTCTGGTGGTCGAGGTATGCCGAATGGTGGATATAAAAGGCAACAAATCGATCAAAACGTCACAGGAGGAGGTCCAGATCCCGTGGACTCTTCACTAGGAGTTATGAATGGCGATGTGGCGGATGAAGTCGAAGAAGTTGTCGGACCCTCGCGAGTTGTTATTTCCACTGAAATGCTCAGTGTTAACCTACGAATTGCGTTTGTTGATTTTGCGGGTCTACACGACAAGCGGAGTTTGCAAATGTTGATACCCCTCATCCAACCGCGGAAACTGATATTCGTGAGCGGAATGAAAGAAGAGACCTTGACTCTAGCAAGTGATTGTCGGAAACTCCTTGCAGCCAAGATTGGTGGCGTGGACGAAGCTACTATTGATGTCTACACGCCAGAAATTGGTGTTAAAGTCAACGCCAGTGTGGATACCAATTCTTGGTCTATCAGGCTTACGGATGCTCTGGTCAAACGTTTTCGATGGCAGAATGTTAAGAACCTTGGGATTGTTACTCTTACAGGTCGGCTGCAGGCTGCGGCTCATGATCCCCCAGAACCAGCAAATGAAGGAAGCAACAAGAAACAAAAGATGATCAAGGGAGAGACCGAGGAGACTGTAACTCGAGAGGCTGTTGATGATTTTCAAGCCCAGATGCCGACCTTGGATATCCTTCCCTCGAGTATGGCATCAGCTACAAGATCTGTTGCTCAACCCCTTCATGTCGGCGATCTACGTCTGGCAGACCTAAGGAAGATCATGCAGTCTTCCGGACATTCCGCTGAATTCAGGGGTGAAGGAACTTTACTTATTGATGGCTCAGTTGTGGTACGGAAGACGGGTACTGGGCGTATCGAGATTCAAGGGAGCGGATTATCTGCTATGGCACAGCAGGAGGGCACATTCTATGCAGTCAAGACCAAGATTTATGAGGGTTTGGCTGTGGTGGCTGGTGGGTAACCGGCTGGGGATTTATTTCTGCCATGTTGTTTGAAATTACACTTGCGTTCCAGGGGATCTTGTGTACGATTAGTGTTTAATAAACAGCATCCAGAATGGCTTTCGGTTCCAATTTATCGAGAATTCTTTGATTTCATTGCAAGGTTCGAATATCAAATCGCGGGAAGATGATCCAGCGAGGTATTGCATGTCGTTCTAAAGAGCAGAGGCGTCTGGATGGATCAGTGAGGTGTGAATCACTTGAAGGCAGGTGATCAGTCACAAGCGTCACTTGTTGGCTGGGAGTGAGGTCCTGAATGTTAATCGAGGTGATTCACACCCCTTTTACTGATGCACGTTACTCACTGCTCGAGGGTTCTAGGTATAAACAACTCGGTCTATTCCACAAATCGTCAGACTTGGAATGAGGTTCTGAATATTCCCCGATGTGATTCACATTCCTTTCACGGATTCACGTCACTCACTTCTCGAGGGTTTGAAGTATAAACATCTCAGTATTTCCCACAAATTTGTTATTCTTTTCCATTCTCGAACACATCCCACAATACTCCTATACATCCATAAATCCACTTCCAAGTCCACATTATTATTCATACTTCCAAGCAATCATCAATACTTACTCGCCATCGTGGCTTCATCAGATATCAACCACTGCCCCCTTCCCTACCCTATAGGCAAAATCGTCTACAGATACCAAATCATCACCACCCCCAACAGCATCGTCCAGCAAATCAGATACCACTGCTTCGAGATATATAACCTATCCGGAGACCAGATTAGCCTTATTCGACACCTCGAAGCTGTTTCTGACCCCAACCACGGCTGGAACACCATCCACGGAAGAGATTCAGGTCCACCACCACCATATACCGAACCTCCACAGTCAGAAAGTACAAATACACAGCAAGAGCCAAATCCAATGGCTGGCCGAGGATACAACACCATGCACGGCTTCGACCAAGGCCCACCACCGCCAAGTTTCACGCCAAACCAAGGATTTGGTATCCCTCAGTACCCGGCTTTCTTCCCTGCCCAGGCCCCTCCACAAGCATATGGTTTCCCGGCGCCGGCTATGCAGGTACCCGTGGCAGCAGCACCGCAGATGCCCCAATACGGCTACGGCTACGGCTACGGCCATGGCTATCCCTATCCCGGACAAACGCACCCTGCGCCTCCCCCTCGCGCCAACCCCGCGTTCCCCGGTATCCACCTGCGGAACCACACCGGCGGCGTGGGCCTGCCCCCCGGCTACGACTATGCGTTCCCCCAGGCGCACTGCAAGATCCACGTGTTCACGACCAAGACGCCGCCGTGGCAGTACACCACCGTGCTGCACAGCTGGGACGAGACAACGCACGTCAAGATGTACGTGCCCGCGACCACGACCGTCAAGGACCTGATGCAGGGCTTGGGCTGCACGAATGCGGTTGCGGGGAAGAATGTGCTGTATGAGGTTACGGAGGCGGGGAATGGGAAGTGGTTAAAGGGGTTGACTATTGCTGTGAGTGTGTTTTGTTTGTTCAATTTTGCCGGGCTTCCTTTCTATTTGATTTGACGGGTTGTATTGAACTGACATGTGGGTAGGGTGATGATAAAGATAAGGTCAAGGTTCCTATTTCGGAGATGGGGTGGGATATGACGAGGACTGGACATCCTGGGGAGAGACCGGTTGTGTGGCTTTATTTTACTAAAGATTAAGAGCAATATCGATGCTTTGAGGTTTGATGGTCGAGGGGTTAGATTTAGAAATGGTTCGGCGACATTTATACGTACTTGATTATCCCTGGTATACTATTAAAGATATATTAGACTTGTCGTTAGCGTTAGATCAGCATATATATAAAGTAACGACTTATGACTTACCTTGTGACTTTTACTTAGTTGTGCACCTGAAGACCGAATCACTTGACTTGACATTTTCCTTTTCATATTTTGTCTAGCGCTAAGCAGCTCCAACTAGGTATGCACACTGTGGTTACTCCATACAACTAAAATACAGCAACTTGGAAAAAGTCGGCTCCTCAATAATGAACCCTCCCTTTCATGCTCTCATCCATGAGATGTACACGTGTAACGCCTCCCAAACCCCAAAGATTGTCGTAAAATAGCTTCTTAGCTAGAAGTCTTAGCCAATCGCGTTCATGAATCCTCCAGCTTGCATGAATTGCATTTGAGCCTCCCGCAGATCCGCCCAATTACGCAGCTCTTCTTCCTCGTCGACATCACCAGACTCAGTCTTGATCGCGGGACTGATTCGTTCTAGCTTCATCAAAACTTCGAGAAATTTGCCCAAATAATCTTCGGTCTTCACCGCGAGCGGACCCTTGCGGTTCTGTGGAGTATCGATCAGGGTTGATGCAATCTGACGGATTTTGTTGATCTGGAACATTGTTAGCATTGTTCAGGGAATCGAAGGGAGAAACGTACAAAGCTGCCACCATTTGGCTCCATATTGACCTGGCTGATAGCCCCCAGAACCTGCAGCAAGTCCTTTACAATATTCTCTCGCTCAGCTGCTACAACCGATTCCGTTCTGTCGTAATTGCTGCCTGGGGATTGCTTTGGAAGCATACCGTCCAAGCCAGTGGCCATTGTACTGGGAAAATTGGCAACCGATGGTGAAGTGCTGGAAGTCTCTTTCATGCGGTCATGGGTTTCGTGAAGATTCAAGTATTTCTCAACAATATAGGAACGAGTGCCCAATTGACTGGCATATATGTTGGCTTTCTGAATCTCGTACTGAAGCTGTCTCCGTGCATCAGAGGCATCTTGTTGCCATGGTAATGCTTCGACACCGTTTGACCTAATTCCGGGGTATTCATGGGTAGGTGGGAAGTATCGGCGCTCAGGAATACTGAAGCCATCACCCGAGGCATTCGGTTGCATCAACACCAGCTCTTTGGGGACGCCAACCAGGATCTTCTTAGCCGATCGCAAGCACTCTTCCAATATTTTCTTCTGTCTGTTGAAATCAAACACCTCGTCAATACCATACGCCATCTCCATTGTAGCTAGTGGTGTAACTGTCATGTAAATTTCACAAGCTAGGTTGAAACCCGTGAGCTTTGATACAATACCGGCAGGTTGTTGATCAATCCTCTCGAGATAGATGTATTCGTCGTCGACTTCAACCGGGTATGGAGGGTACGGTTCATTAGGAGTAGGGGGAGGAATTAGAAGTTCACCGAAGCTAGCCCCAAGCTGCTGCATTGATCTAGGAATTGTCAGTATGTAGCGGATATTGCCAGATCTGGATATTATCATAGAATACACACCTGACAGCGAGAAACATGATCCAAAATATCCTCCTACCGATCTCCTGCTTGACGTAGTCGACTGCTTGGGGGAGTTCCTCGAATCCACTCTCTGGACCTGCACCGAACGCTGTTGGCAGAGCACCAATAGACAGATTATTCTGGACCTTATGGGCACCCACTACCCTCAGGATGGTTAAAGTCTCTCCGAAATACAGCCTGCAGCTCGTCCATTTGAGAGTGTATGCATGTGACAGACCAAGCAAGTAGCTCGTAGCTGCATCGTAGACATTGAGCTGCTTGTCTAGGTACCCCGCGCCTCGAGATTCAACGGCGACCTTGTGACAACGTTCGATCAGGCTGATTGAGTTGGGAAACAAGTTCTCGCGATGCTGTGCCTTGAGATGTATTCTTGGGTTCCGGGGAAACGATGCGACCAACGATCCAATCATGGCTGCCAATAACGACAAGAAAGGTGGGTTGTTCAGGTCTTCTCTTGCCTTGAATGCTGCTCTGAATGACGGTTCGTGGGGGAATGGAACAAGAGGATGTATGTAGGTGAAGTAGTCGTCGACAAGAAGTTCGAGGGTGGAGAAGGGGCATATGGATTCGGCATTGAGGACGGCGTGCGAAGAGAAGGATGCGAGTGTCGCAGCAACATTATTGGGGGATGTAGGAGAGGAGAAAGGGCCGCCGGTCATCGAAGGGGAATCGAGTCTGCGCTTCTTGATAGCTTCAGCATGGCGATTGGGAGGCCCTCGACGTCGGCTGGGACGGTCGAAGGTGCATGGGATGTCGAGGGCAGCGCAGGCTTTGCATGGTGGGCCAGCTTCGTCGCACTGCGCGTGAGTTAGTATGTTATGTAGAGCTATGCTGTGAAGCTGCCAGTTGTTATTGTACCTTAACTTTGCGGATACTGCAAGAGTCGCATGCTTTGCGCAAACGATTGCCCTTTGGTCCTTCTCCACCAGTGCTTGCGCCAGACCCAGCAGCTTGTGCTTGCGCCATCTGCTGACCGTCATCATCTACATGACCATGGCCATTCATGTGTCCATTGTTGTTCCCGTACTGCAGTTGCATTGGATGCGGGTGCTGCTGAGGTTGATGCTGGGGTTGGCCATCGTAAGTGTATGGGAGTGGGAGGAGGCCATGGTGTTGCTGCTGTTGCTGTTGCTGCTGCTGCTGCTGCTGCTGGTGTTGATGTTGATGCTGCTGATGATGAATGGGCAACCCCTCATTACCACTGGCTGAAGAACCCCCTGGACCGTTGATGTTTGGATGGGTGGGATAGCTGTTGTCGGGTGGGGTGAAGGCAGACATCGGTACCGCGTGTTTTGATTGAGCAGCGTGTAAACAACGGCGATGTCGTCGGCGAGAAGTCGGGAGAATGGTGGGCGGGCGGTCGGTCGGATGTATGATAGAATAGGGATAGATGGGATGGGATAGTGGTGGAGGGGAAGGGAGGGGAGGCGAGGGGAGGGGAAAGCTTCGGGTATAAATGTGAGAATACAGGAAAAACAATGAATGAATGGATAGACACTCAATTAACACAAGACTAGACTAGTGAGGACCAGCACAAATCTGAATGGAATGGAAGATGCGGTTTAGAGTTAGAGTTTCCATATTGTAAAATCGTTTTAGAATAGAAAATGACATGCGGGTTTATGATCTGAGCGGGTGCCGCTGTACAGTATTACAGGGGGTACTATATGCATATACGAGCATTCTTATTGCCCTTTCCTTCTCCTTTTTCTTTCACTCTCCCATACCTAAATCTCTAAATCTCTGACGGCATTTCCACAGGCAGGTTCTAGTAGGCTCTTCCTGTCCAATCTACTTTGATTTTCAACGCGGCGTATATAAAGTGTTCGATCTACTGCAAGCTTGGATCATTTTATGCAGATTTAGTGCCCGAAACCATCTTGACGCCTCTACTAGTCATGACCATTTCCTGCTGAGTATACTGGATTTGAATTATGAGTGAGAGCAAGCCTTCACTCTATAACTTCGTAGTAGACTTAGAGATCCTTCAACGCTGTTAAAATAATCACAGTCTAAACAGCGCCTTCTGCAAATAAGGAGGAGGTACTAGTATATTCTACCCCACCTAGACGGCAGCCATATGTCGTAGTATCATTCAGTGACCGCCTTCATCAAGAGTGGAGGATAACTTCAATGTTTTCGAGAGTATGGTATCGATCGTATCTTTAAGTTAAGGTATCTTTAAGATCTTAGTGAAATAAGCGCTGTTACTATAAGGCGCGCGGGAGAAGGTAAGTCAAACAAGCCTAATAAATCCTAAAGCTTACAAGTTATTATAAGATGGTCTTTTCGCGGGGGAATGCCATTGCGTGGTTTGAAACAAATATACCGTTCCCAAGAGCGCGTGATACCGTCGAGATGAATCCCGATAATACAAAAGTGGGATATATCTTCTCAGCCCTCGCTGGTGGTCCCACCTTTGATTTGATATGGAAGCTACAGCGACACCATCTCCCATTCCTTTCTTCCAAGTTCTAACCCAACTGCTCTCGCCATCATGGGATATCTGACAACTGAATCCGTAAACCCAGTCCCCGAATGGGGCAAGTCTCAAAAAGCAGGCGGAAATTATGGCACAACTACTATCCTTTCCGAACATGCCCTCGAGATCTCTGCCAATAGTAACAGCATTCCCGTAATCGATGTCTCCAACATCTTCTCTCCTATTCTAGAAGCCCGCAAAGCAGTAGCCGCCGAAATCCGCGAGGCATGTATCAACGTTGGCTTCTTTTATGTCCAGAACCATGGGATTCCGCAGGAGCTAGTTGATGGGGTTTTTGAGTGGGGAAAGAAGTTCTTTGATTTGAGCTTTGAGGAGAAGATGGAGATTTACATAGATAATATATACCATTATAGGGGTTATACGCCTCTTTATGGAGCGGGGACGGCAGGGTCGGATGGAAAAGGGAGTAGGTGTATCTGCATTCTCATCAGGTACTTACTCGCTGATGATTGTCAGATGCGAATGAAGCCTTTGACTGGGGGCACGACAGCAAATTAAACGATGACCCGGAAGACTTGTTTTTAGATCCATATATGCGGGGAGAGAATCCATGGCCCAAGCAACTACCAGGCTTCGAAGCTCATCTGTCCGAATATTACCACACCATGCGTGCCTTCTGCCGTGTGATGGCAAGGAATATTGCACTTTCTCTTGGCCTGCAAGAATCGCATTTTGATTCCGTCTTGACGCATCCTGGCTGCAGTGCTTTGGTTGCTCATTATCCGCCACAGGAACCGAAGAGTGGGAATTTGGGACTCAGTGCTCACACTGATGCTGAATGTAAGGAAAATTTTAGAAGTAATAAGAGGGAGCTAATGCCAAGACTGCTAGTTTTCACTATTCTAGCTGCCGGCGAAGTTCGAGCCTTGGAAGTAATGCGACGAGATGGCTACTGGATCTCCGCACCGCCAAAGAAAGATTGCTTCATTATAAACGTTGGAGACCAACTTCAGGCCTGGTCCAATGATCTTTATGTCTCTACTTTACATCGAGTTTTGAACTACTCGGGACAAGAGAGATATTCGGTGCCATTCTTTTTTAGTGCAAACTACGAAACTGTGATTGAGGTGAGTTGCCTCCGAGGAACAGAATCCACGGACTAGCTGATTATTTGTAAAGCCAATCAAGGCACTTATGAAAGATGGACATGTTGCTTCACATTCTCCTTTAACAGCGGGTCAGGTGAGTCTATTCTTCTTGCAGAGTCGAGTAGTTGCTGAAATTTCCTGCAGATGTACAAGGAAACCATGATTGGGTTTCACAAGATTGCAGATACTATTCCGGAGCTGGTCAAATATCGGAAGTAAATGTACATTAAAGGTTGGAATGAGATTTGAATTGTATTCCAAACGACAATCCTCGAAATTATTGATGCCTCGGAATCTTGAGACTTCATAGGGCCAGAAATCAGCTAGAGAGAGGAGCGGTTTTTACTTGCAGCTGCTTCTAGTGCTACCAGAAGACACTACGGATTAAACTCATAAAGTACCACGAGAAACATGTAAGATTAATGAAAGGAACTCAAATGGGCAATATAGAAAGATTGCAGACTAGCACGAAATGTACACATTGAGTTTATTAGATCGGCAGAGAAACATGAGGGGTAAACAGGCCCCGTGAAATCAAACAAACAAGCCTTTCATCCAACTTCCGTCAATCGGGTGGTGTCACTGGAACATCCTGTGGCGTATCATTACTTGTCTTCAACATGAGTCCTCCCATTTCAATACTAGACCAACAATCCAACAATCCTTCATAATTCGTTCCATCCACTGTGTCAACATATTTAATAACGTCTTCTGCCTCCACGAGAACCCTGCATGAGCCGTGTTCCCTGTTCGAACGCCATCCACGTCCAAACCCACTTCAAATGCTCCCAAGCCTCCAACTTGTATCTCAACGGAGTGCAGAACCAACCAACCAGCCAAAGGCCCGCAACCGATCCAACAGCGGCAAACCGTCTGCAGATCTCGTTCTCGCCATATCCAACGGCAACAGCCAAGACCACCTGGAAGAATGCCAATGGCCAGTAGTTGTCTTGCTTGTAGATGAAGACATTGTCGAGGATTTCGACTGTGAAAGGAGCAACGACCCCAGCGATGCGCCATTGGAAGAACAGTGCGCCGATGATGAGGACTGGGGCGACGAAGGCGTCGAGGAGTTCAGGGCCGTCGGTGGGAATGATCCAGGAGAAGGGTCGGAAGGGGGTTAGGATTGTGAGGAGTGCGCCCATGAGGAAGACGGAGGTGATGCGTCGAATTGCCATCTCGGTGCGGGAAGGGAGGGCAGCCCATGCCCTGGCCTGGGCTTCAGATGCGCGTTGAACCATCTACCGTGGAAGAGAATATGGTGAGCTGAAGCGATCTTTGGGGATAGGGGGGAGCGGAAGCAAACCTTGAAGGTGTAGTTGCGTGATCGTTACGAGTAGGAATAGTCTTTGGGATATCCTGCACGAGGGGATCAACCACCCTTATACTACGGAAGAGATTTCTATGTCTGCTTCACTCTGGGACTGATAAACGAACAGAGATGGCAACACGCGACGAGAGATTATTAATGCCTATATACCTTCTATATGGGGCCTGCGGTTGCTTGTGGCACAGCACTCCACTACACAGCCCGAGGCCTCCTTACCAGTCAGCGAATAGGCATATAGGAGAAGCCTAGAAAGCTTAGGTAGGATGAATATATTTAAAATGAAACAAACCTGGGCCTCAGCTTTGCATGAAATCAAACATTTGGTTTTACTTCGTAGACAGCAATCATTAATACGAGAGGTCGAGACTTTTGGAAGGAAAGTGTGGAAAATCTTGAGATGAAAATACCTCTAGTGGCGGGGGCGTTTGGGCCTACAGTGCCGCCTAACACCCACCCCTGAAAACCTAGTAAATCCGAACTCCCTTTGTGCACCAGAATGTTCTGAACCTCAGAGGCTCAGTATGGTATGTATAATTATCAAGATCTTCTCTCTACGCCTATCTGAATAAGTTTACATCTTCACTCTTAGCTGTTTACTCCTTATCCACCTCGCCGCGAGGAGAAAAAGACAGCCGATGAACAAAGCCAACCCCGCAAAGATCTGCGCATACTCAAAGTCACCCCCCTTTCTTTGAATTAGCTCTCCAGCAATAGGCGGCCCCGTCAATACCGCAAAGCTGACGATAGTAAAGACCTGACCCATCCTCACACCAGCCTTTCTCAAGTCCGTGGTCAAGCTGCTCAATGTCGCCGGGAACAAGCTTTGGATTGCAGCTCCAACAATCCCATATATCACTGCCCAGGCGTATAGACCCCCTCTGGAAGAGACAGCAATCCAACAGAAACATAACACCGAAGTGACTATGACTACTGGGATGAGGGTATTCAAAGGACCCGAATACCGATCTGCAAGATAGTTGGGCACGATACGTCCCATGACTCCTACCCCATTCAGGACTATGAGGAGGTTGATAGATTCGGTATAGGGTAAGCCAATAATGTTGCGAGCGAAAGAACCAAGGTAGTAGAATGCGAAGTAGACGCCCCAGAAGTTCTATTCTGTGTCAGCGGAGTCTCCTTTCTGAAGGTAACAGTGTCACTTACAAAGAACATGCCAATGGCAAAAAGCACATACGGCACTTCCTTGAACGAAACCCAGTCCACCAGCTCGCCCGTCCTTCTCGGAGGCACACGAGGTCTAATCCCAATATTGCAAACGATCAAACATCCAAGCTGCACAAATCCCAATGCTCTCATAGTCCACGCAAACCCAACTCGGGGCAAAAGCTGCTGCACCATCGCAGGGAAGATCATTCCTCCCGTCGCACTCCCCGCCGCCGCAATCCCAATAGCTAGACTTCTCTTCTTGCTAAAGTACGTGCTCAGAATTGTCAACGAGGGGCAAAACAAAGATCCGTTTCCAAGACCGCAACATACTCCTTGAGCGAGGAACAGCTGCCAGTATTTGGTAGATAGAGAGGCCATAAAGACACCGAATACACCAGCGAATGAGCCAAAGAGGAATACGGGCCGGAAGTATCCAGCGTCTGTGAGTCGTCCAGTGAACGTGCCGATGAAGAAGAGGAGGAAGACTTGGAAAGAGCCTATCCAGGAAATATCAGATGGCGGTCGACCAAGCGCTTCTACGTAGTATGTTTGGAAGACGCCGAAAGAGTTGATAAAACCCCTGGGAGAATTATGTTAGATTGCATAGGTGACTTTGATGATGGGATTTACCATGTATTCATTACTACCAGATGCCCAAAGATGGCTAAGACGGTCAGTTGAACGATCTTTCTGTATAGTTCACCTCAACGACGCAGGCTGCTCAAACTCTAGAATGCCATACCTTGCGCCCACGCACTCATGCCTCCATCAGGAGGTGGCCCAGGATCTTTCCAACTACTCTTCGTGCTTGTCCTCGTCACAGCTGTTTCCTTCTTCCCACACAACTCATTATTAGGAATGCGGTAGGCTTCAATATCACCCTTCTCAGTCAAGCTTAAGAATCTATCATCTTTCGCTGAACTTTCTCCTTGCCCTCCCTCGTCATCTGACTCTGAATTGATCGTCTGGATTTCGACACCCCTTTCAAGCGTGTCAGCTGAAGGGTCCTGGGTGCCGCTGATGGCTTGTGTTTCAACCATGTTGAACGAGCATTAAACAGCTACTCGCTGTTCAAAGCAATTTTTGTTGACTGTAGATATATTAGAGTGGGGTAGCTAAAGACATAGCTTCGGGAATTACACACTTATGATATAAAAAGTCTATTTCCGCACGTATTATTTAATGAGAGAGAGAGAAAATGGCAACCGGACGTTGTGAAACTGGGAGAATAGAGAAGAGAAACCAAAGTTGAAAGAATGAGTATGACTCTAAAGCTAAGCTAAACCCTGGTACTTGTAAATGAACGTATATTGTATCTCCGGAGCTGCATGCATGGCGGGGTTGCCCGCACACGCCCAGCCCACCACCCGCAATAAGGTGAAAGGCGTGGTTACTAATCATGTCAACATGGGACTTGGGCACTGCACTCATTTATTCGCTGACACATTTATTCCCGGGGGATGAAGTCCGTCTAGATTAGTGAGCTTTAAGACCTGCCGATCTCTGAAGAGGAGCAGTGATTGGGGTGTTCCCTCAGGGGCAAGGCTATATATAGTGCCGCTTAGCCGGCCGGCTTCGTTCTACAGTACTCTCGGTCCAGGTCCAATCACCTCAATTTTCGAGTCTAATGACAAGAGGTATAAAGAAAGTAACGATATAAATCAAATCAGATCTGGAGGAACTTGTATTTGGTAACTACGTTTGCAAGATGTCAGTTGGTAAGACTATACTATGAGACTGTCATAATTAAGGATGTCATTGCCATCCAAAATTTGCATCATCATACATGGCATGTCTAATGACTCACTGAATATTAGCTGTAAAAATCGTTTGCTTTTACCTTGATGAGAGCCCGCCAAGTCCTCAGTACAACAGCCAAGTTTACAAATGCAGCAGCGATGGAGTGAACAATATTTCTACATGACTTTGAGCTACACTAGCTAGCCATTCTCCTACGTTTCTCTCTCGAACGCCTCAAACCCAAACACTAACCCGTGTTGGCCCAATTAGACAACAGGTCTTGCTTTACAATTTACTTGCCTCTTTCACACAGCAGACTTTCCCATTTTGACCGATCACAGCTGCTCCAGCCTCCTGCTGATGGCTCGTACTGGCCAACACACTCTTGTTAAATCTCTGCTCACTCGGCGGAACGTCCAAGGCGGGGTTCTTGTCAAAGAAGTTGACAGGCTTCAGATGTACCTTGATGATCTCGCAAGGCATGACGGGAAAGTCTTCAATGCGGGGAATGTGGTTGATACCGAATTGAACCCAGACAACAATATCGTCGTCTAGAACGTTGTCTTTCCGATCCGCCCAGCTTCGGACACCAGTACCACCACGAGATTGATTGGTATATTTGCCTCCAGCATACAACTCGCCATCCTTGTATGAAGTGACGTAAACGTTGTGGTCGGCGAATTCAGCACGCTTGAAATGGAAACTATCCTGGTCTGCCAACATCTTTTGGAAAGGAGGAGTCATGATCTTGTAGCCTACTGATTTTCCGTTGATGGGATTCTTGACTGTGGAGTTTTGGATCTTGAATGTTCGGTTGGCATCGACATCGAGATCGTATCCGCCGGATGTTGTGATGGGCGTTTCTGTCACTGTGTACCCGACGCCGTGGGGGTTGAAATCTGATCGTGGCATGGCATGTGCTTCATCATATACCACGCGATTCAAGGGCCCATCAACCATCGGGTCGACTCGGAGGGAGAAGATGTGTTGATGGTGAGCTGCGAGAACTCCTGGGTGGACAACCGTACCCCACGGAACAGAAATACCTTCGTCGATAGGTTGTGTGGAAAGAATACCGGTGGCTCGAACTTCATACATGACTTCACCTGCCTGGTTGAAGATGAAAGCGAGGATGTATTCGTAGTTGGAAACAGTGATGATGGACTGTAGTACGAGCTCTCTGTTTCGGACCACAGCTGCTCGGCCAGTACGGTAATTTGTATGCTTCCATCCGATCCCATTATCCTGTTCGTGAACACATACGACGTTTGGCATTTCAAGTGGTTCACCCTTGTCGTCGTTGAGAACGGCTGAGAGGTAATGAATGGAACCGAGACAGTCGCATCCCAATTGTAGGTTGTTAGCCATAATACCTGCGCCAGCATCACCAAGGTCGAATGCTGCCTTTTTATGGTATGGATGACGAGGATCGGCGTAGGGAATGTTCATGTCGGATAGTGATAGTCTGTAGAACAAGGGTCGACCAGCATAGTAGACATCATAGAGGACCATGCCTTCACGTTGGTTGAAGCCAACTTTGAAAGTCCATTTCTGCCAGCTGACGTTATGACCCTGTTCACTGAAGTTGGAGATTTGGAACGAAGCGCCTTCAGGTTGGACAACGTTCAAAGGCTTCAAGTCGGTTCGAAGGGTTTGAGCTTCGGAGATGTACTCATTCGCAGGTTGAACTTTGTACGGTGACGGCTCCTTGACGGTTGCATCTATACCCGTTGGCAAGTTATCGATTCTGGTGACTTTCATCGTCTCGGCGCTAACGACAGGGGATATGCTAAGAGGCATGGCATAGTGGTTACTGTCCGCTTCTGAAGAGTTCTTTGGATCTCGAATATAGAGAAAGCATTGAAACATTCGTTTCTCATCGGTAAATAGACCTTCGTTGATGCCATCGGATCCTACGAATTGTCAGTGACTTGGACATCACGCTGTCGTATCCACGCACCATAGATCCACGGATCACTAATAACTACTGTGCCTTCAGGAAGTTGAAGCTTTGCAAGTTCAGCTTTCACACCTTCGTCCTCAAGGGCTATTTTCTCCACAGCGTTGATCTCGTCACCGTCCGCGTTTGAGTGAACGTTTGGGCCGAGCCGAAGATTACTCTCAACTTTGGCGTGGGTAAGATTTACAATAGCTTCGTGTAATTTGTCCTGTGTCGGTCTTAGCACGGTGTACCGCTAGCAAGGATAAGATACTCACAGTATTACGAATATAGTAAACAACAAAGCTTCGTCTATCAATGGTGGGGGTTGCCTGGGCTGTCCTCTCAGCAGCCAGGAACGGTACGAGTTCAGCTTTGCTTGGTTCTTGGAGAGTGATGCTCTTAAATTGGATGTTGGTCTGTGTAGGCCATAGGGACTTGATGAGTTGCGAACTGTTAGTAATCTCGCTGGCTGTCAATGGACCGAGAGGGTGTTGAGGTGATGGCTGTTTGCCACCAACCAATGGTAGAGGGGTAGAAAGTTCAGCGGACATTGTAGAAATGCGAATAGAGCTGGGGAAAATGCCGGGATGGGGATTAAGGGAAGGGTGTATGTTTGGTATTTATGTAAATTGCGACCATACACCAAAGTTGCACCTTGTTCGCCATTGGATATTGTTTGTCCTCTTTGGCGCTCTTATCGTTGATAATTTCTGCCCCGCCATACGGTATCAGATGCATCAGTCTCGCATAGGCCTGCCAAATGAAGCAAGCGGGATAAAATAGGGCAGTCTGGATGATGCATACTAGGAGCTGAGATCGATCATGGACTTGGTACAGTACATACAATACAGCTCGAGGCTCGAGAGTGGGATAAAACCGTCGCAGAGTGGATTTCTTGAACTGGTAAACATCTCCCGCTATACTAATAGGTATAGTATAGGTATGTATATAAAGTTGGGAGACAGTTGTTAGGACTACCTACCTAGCTACAATAAAAATCTTGCCCATTTCTGCCAGTCTCACCGCCTACTCTAGTCCCCTCTCAGCTTCAAGCCCCACCATCTTCTTTCTCCATCTTCATCTGAACGACGGGACTTGGTAGTTCGACGTAAACTCAAATTGTTACTTCGCCATTAGAGGCTCACTGTTAATCTACTTGGACGCTGCCAGCAAATACTGGCTGGCTAAGTACTGCAAATTGCATCATCTGCGATTCTGCATGACAGAAGTGAAGGGGCTACTCTGTTCGCTCGCGACGCCATGGACCCTCGTGGAAATAGATAGTCAATGCTGTCTATTGTGACGAAGAGTATCGGTAAGGCAGGTCAGAGAGTCTGGAGCGGAGATGGAACGGCCACTGCTTGAACGTAATATGAACCGCGCTCTTGAGTCTTGACTGGTGAAGGTGATGGCCGTATAGAGACCTCAGCTGTGATCAAGCCTCGTCAAGAGGTGAGAAATTCCGTACAGACTCTAGTGGTGTGCCAATCACTTTCAAATGATCGGGGTAGGTGGCTATCAGTGGCTTGCCTGATAATGATTAGGCTAGGAGAAGATCGGTAGAAAAAGGTAGATGCGTGTGAAGAAAAGCCCACTGTCATTTGTATCTACATCGCTACTCAGGATGAAATATACGAGGTCCTCGGAACTGCAAGCCAATGCATCCTATCCTAATAGGACAAAGCTTACTCCCAACGCCATGCAAGAAAAGCCAAGAGTATGCTTCCTTTCGTGTATAATCAAATCATGCGGACCGCATACCTCAACAATACCTCCTAATATATCCAACACTTCAAACCCCATCATCCGCCTCCCCAACAATCCTCACCCCAGCTCCCGTTCCCCTCTCCTGTGCCTCCCTCCTCACAGCCCTCCTCCTCTCAACCTCCGCCACAAGCCCCTTGAAATAAACCTCCGCCTGCACCGTAGCACTATAAGCAACCGGCGTCCAGCTCCACATATTCCTCTTCTCACTATCCGCACCCGCCGCAAGCAGCGTCCTCAGAACCAGCAAATGCCCATTGCTACTCGCAAAATGCAACGCCGTATTCCCATCCTGATCCGCGTTCTTCAGCAACTCCTCGGGCCCACTCGGCGCAAACGTCAACAGGATCTGCAAGCAGGTATCGTGGCCTCCTCTACTGGCCTCCATAACGGCATCTCGACCACGCACATCCCGCTTCGGTATACAGCTCGGCATCGCGGTGCATAAAGCATGCACGCACTCTGTATGCCCGCCTGCAGAGGCGAGCATGAGGGGGGTTTGGTGGTCTTCGTTTAGAGAGTCGATTTGGTGGTGTAGGGAGAGGAGGACGCGCACGCAGGGCAGGAAGCCGAGGGAGGAGGCGAGGTGGAGTGATGTGTTGGAGAGCCCAGCGCTGGAGGGGTCTGGGTTGAGGAGGAGGTGCGGATGGGTTTTTAGGATGCGGCGGATTAGGAGGGGGTCGGCGGCGTGGATGGCGCGGCGGAGGCGGAGGGAGGGATCGATCCTAGGGGTGGAAGAAGAGGTTAGTTTTGTGTATTGTGAGGAGAGGGGGGGATATAGTAGAGGGGTTGAGGGAGGAGAGGAATGCTGGTAGTGGGAGCTATTATTAGAGTCTTACATGATGTTGGCATTGCTTTAGATGTCAAGTGCTGGAATACAGCAATTGGCGTCCAAGGCAAAAGAAAGACGTTGTGCAATGCCAGATATCCGGTCGCAGATGTACTGCAAGTCGGTGTTTGATGTTGACTTTTAGTAGGTTGGATGTGAATGAGTGGTTGATCGATCGCCTTAGGCCGCCAGCCACCAAACCCTGGAATTCAGGGGGTCCGTCAAACCCGTAGCGTCTCATCACCCAACCACCTGTTCCAGACTCGAACTCGAGGTACAGTACCAAGCCGGGTACCTGACAGATGACAGGGCATTATGAGACCCGATGAATAAGATTTATGGATGCCGGCGTCTGAATATCCGTGAATGTTAATACTTGCATTGTTTTATCCTCATTTTATCCCGGATCCTTACGAGCGTCAACTATTTGGTATCACAAAGGCAAGCAAATGTCTGTGTCGAAGTTCTGCTTTCAGAAATGTCTGAAGTCAACCTAAAAGCGAAAAGTGAAGTTCTGCTAAGTATGTTCTTAAAAGTTCTCTCCCATCTTCCAGAAATGGCCAAGCACTTCAAGGGTCTAATGGCTATCTATAACATTAACATTTTCTTGAAAGCGATTTATAGACATGACATCGAACATAAAGAACCCCAATAAAAATGATTCCCAATCCTTGTGCTCCGTTTCCCAGGATCGGAAAAAACACCCTTCTGATTCCCACTCACCACACCCAATGATTAAACTCCGCGTGATCTCCCCATCTACCGTGCTCCCATCATACCTCGATCCGCTCATGCGATGAAGCTGCGGCGTCTTTGCTTCCGTCCCTTTCCACCCTTGGCTGCGCCTGCACCACCAGCTGCTCCTGCACCACCAGCAGCTTTAGCTCCACCCTTTCCACCTGCGTTTCCTGCGTTTCCAGTTCCAGTCGAAGCAGCCTTCGCGGCCGCGGCAGTTGTCGCAGCAGCAGCTCCGGTTGGGCCTGGATCTTTGACAGCACTGGCAGCAGCAGCCGCGGCAGCCTATAAACAAGTTAGTCATGAAATTCAACCAAATCGAAGAAAGTCTGTAAGAAATCACACGTACTACTCCACCGGAACCGTTGTTTGAAGCAGCATTGGCCGTGTTTCCATTCCCGCTGACAGTGAACTTCGTGCAGTCATCAGCAGTACCACGCTGAGCGACGGGCATGATGACGGGTTGATGGTTGGCTGCCGAGGCCATGGTGCATACACGGTAATTGCCAGCTGGAAGACCTCCAGTTACAACGGCAGTGAGAAGTCCCTTTCCATTACCGGCATCGTTGATACCCTTGAAGAAAGCGAATTGAGTAGCATCAAGCGCCGTAGTAGGGTTTAAGCTTTTGCCCATATCTTGAACAGTGACATGCGTGTGCCCAACAACCTGACCACCCTGCAAGGCTTGAGGCGCGGAGTAGTAGGTAGCATCAGCGTTGGTGAACTGACCAGCCACAAGATTGGACATCTGTACGGTGATATTAAAGCTCGTGTCAGAGGCAATTGCTGATCCGCCGGTTTGAGGATTTGTGATGACCGAGGAAACCATGGCGGTCTTGGCTGGGATATCTCCCATGGCTTTTGATGATTAGTACAGCTGTTCAGATACAGATGTTACGCAGATCACTTACTGATACCATTACATGACCCAGTGGTGATTTGAAGACCATTGGTTAATGTTTTTCCGGCGCAGTTGTTTATGAAATTGTTCTGCGATGTTAAGGATTTCGCTTGTCCAACCTCTGCAGCACCAACTTCGTTACTTCCATCGTTGAAGGAACCCGATTGAATTGCGTTGGCCGACAATGTCGTTCCAGTTCCTCCACTGGCAGCTGCTGCGGCATTCGCTGGTGCGGGTTCTGGGTTTGCATATACTACTGCAGAAAGCGCAATAGCGCAGGCGATTTGTTTATAAAGCATCTTTGAAAGGATTTAGGTCGATTGATGGTCGGAAGGGAGGACGAATGAAGTTAAAACGCTGAGCTGATATCAAGAATGATCAATGAGTGTAAATCCGTTGAGGTGTGATGGTGGTTAATTAGATGCACGGTCAACGTGATCTCCTTGACTGGCAAGATGAAAGTAAAAAAGAGGGAACGTGAAAGAGAGGAGCCCGCCAGAAAAAGAATTCGAAGCAATGTAGTAGGTTGCTTGAGATAGTGGTGGAGTGGAAGAAAGAGAGGATGGCTTGAGTACTTATTGTAGAAGCTTGGCATCTGACCTCCACATGCCTGCAGTGGGCCCTTAGCCCCATGGCAATTAGCAGGAGTAGCCTTGATCCTGCAGACATTGGCAATGGAGATCCCGTTCTCGCATTGTGTCTTTGAAACTAGATGTGAGGTTCAAGTTGTCGCAGTAGGGGCAAGAGATGGATAAGGGGGTGCCATCCGAAAGAAGGTAAGCGGGGGAGATCAGGTGGAATCCACAACAGCTGGAACCCTAGCCTACTGTAATCTGATCTCGGCATGGCGGTAAGAGGTCAGCAGAAAATGCTTGAATACGGATGAAAACGCTACAGTATGCCGTCGTTGAGGTCTTACTAGGGGCGCAGCGTTAAGGAAAATGGGGAAGGCGGCTAAGCGGAAACTCCTCCTGTCTTGAAAAGCCTTGGTAAAACCACAACCCCGGCCACTTGGCGGCAACGCAGAATTTCTCGAAACGATCCAAAGTGTTAGATGATTCCAGCAGCACAGATGCAACAAAAGCTTGGAACGTGAAAGAAATGGAATGGAGAGCGCATTCTGGTTCAGACGAAGAAAAGTGTATAGAATAAGGTAGGCTCGTAGGGTAGGGACGAAAGATCAAAAAGGGGCTTGAAGTTTAAGGTTAATTGAGGTTCGGCTGGTGTCCGAGCCAGGCAGAAACATGTTTATCCTCAGGTGTCCGTGCCATATTGTTCACCGGGCAACACCCTTCACATGAGTAATTCTGGGCACGCTCTCAATACCTAAGTATACCCAAAATATTCAAGACTTCATGTTTTATCGCCAGTTGGTTGAACTTGCATCTCTTTCGAGAACATCTTATTTAGCCAACAGCGAAATATTGGTCTTTACTCAAACACCTCGCGATCGATTTCTCTAAATCGTGTGACCCCACCGAAACCCTTTACATATGACAATTATATCTTCCACCCTCGTCAGCCTCTTCAACCACAAGTGGCAATACCAGAAGTATAGTACGCAGTACTGTACCACTCACAGCTCGGGCATTGACTTTGACAAGACTATCCCCCGGATCCGTTCCCTTCCATTGATCATCAAACAATATGCGATCACTTTACCGCATTCCTTAGCGACTGGTTGGACCAAACAGACAGCATGAATCATGGCGTGGACGTGGACCCTGTGCATCTGATAAGCCGCACTAACAAGCCTTTCAGACTGTACTCTGTATAATGTCTCCGTCATTCAGCGATCTTGTCCCCTACAGGATTCCACTTTCCAAACACCTCTTCGTCAAGTCTCCGGATTCCATATCCGAAGGGGTGGCTAAATCAGCTTCCGACCCCTGGATGCTGGATGGAATCATTCCGAACGGGGGGACACAAACTCATAATCTCAACACGAGCATGTCAGTGAGCCGGCGAGCAATCTATTGTAATTGTTAAACTGGAATTTCAATCCGCAAAAGCAATAGTTCAGGGTTGCTGTTTACAAGCTTTCTCTAAAAATTAAAATAAAACCCCGACCTAATTACTTCATGATTCCAAAGAGACCTTCAGATCCTGCGTCCAAGTTTTAAACCCGAGCCTATTCTACGAACAAATGCCGTCCGAGCTCGCCAAACGTTTCAGGGGATGTCATGTCACAGGTCTGAAGGCTGGTGCACGGATCCAGGAGCGAGCGGCACCCGAAAACCTTACTCCGTACCGTATATACGGAGGTACCTCACTTAAGGAACAAGGGACCTAAATTTCTTATGAGATCCCTTTTTGCAACGAATTTTGGATGACAGCTGCGGCGGCGATTTCTTCTCTGCTCCTGCCATCTGATCTCTGCTTCTGCCATCCGATCGTGATGTTTATCTCCGCATCATATCTGCCTTGCTTTAAATTGTTATAACTAATGTCTTGCAGTTGCTCTGGGATTTTGTAAGCATTCGAGGCTCATCCCATTCAAATCAGTGGCGTTCCAACTCGGGATTACAGGCCAAAGAGTAATATAGATATACTCAATCTTCTTCTGACAAACTCGTTCATTATCCATCATTTATGGACGATGGTTAGGCTGCTATCCACCAGCTACAGCGTTCACTTTCGAACTTTAGCCGAGAACTTTGTTCTTCCATTTCGTTCAAGTCGGCCTTTACTGCTTTTCTTGCGAATCATGTTAGCGACGTTCAGAGTCTTTGACTGTGTGAAGTGTCGACAGGTCAGAAATGTCTTTAGGTCAAGCCGATATATCAATGTATAATAAGTATACTGATATTACGCCAAATGGATTATGCCACGGAAAGGTATTCTGATCTTTGAAAAATATTTTGGAACTGGGTTATTCTTACCGTCACTCATCTACAGTATGATACATTGGTGCCATTGAACTTTGAATTGTGTTTGAGGTGCGAGGTCCTGTTCGTGCAAGGGATGAAGGGCGAGGTTTGATACAGCTGCCATGACTCGATAGTCGTCCAGCTTCGCAGAGATAGGGTAGTCAAAATCAAGATACTGGAGTAACCATGGTTCTATTGTAATTGGGAAGGTTTTGAAACTCAATGTTTGAGGGGAAGATTGGAGCCTAATCATTACTTAGCGTGTTTCATCGATACGTGAATAAACAGCCTCTATTACCCGCTCTCGGACATCGTTTCAATTTGAAAGTGGGGATGTGTATCTTTCGTAAGTAGTAAACTATAAATCTGACATCTATTTCATATGCGAATTAATCTAATCCTTCAAGACCACGCGATATGGCTGGTTTTCTCAGGAAAGGGGATTAAGCGAAGTTGGATAGGGGGGGGGGGCATTTTAGCGTGTGTGCACTAACCAATCCTCTGTAAAAACGTATTATCATTCTCAATGTTTGAATCAGTGTTATTGGCTCTAGAATTAGATATATAACATAGAAAATATAGGAACTTTTGAATTCTAAATACCGCTTTATTGCTAGCGCAATCGATGAAGACCTTTCTCATATCTCACGTGACTGGCAGATACCTCACAACTGAGAGCGGGTCGCTTTGCGGCTGCATCTTAAGCTCACATAAGAGTTGATTTTGAAATTTACTTTCATCCCCAATTATATATTCTTAACCTATTCTTTTGAGGGACGACTCCATATGTCACGAGTATACGTGACATAAGGTAGCGCTAGGGTCACTAGCGCTATTAGGCCTCCATGTCAGGACCTCCAGGGCTCCTTTCTAGCTAGCTTCCACCTCAAAACCTCTATATATGACTTTCCATAGACTAACGTCTTTCTTACGTGACATCTTCCAATGGAGCCGCCCTCTCAGACAATCCGACGTCCTCGGAAAAGAAGCAGAACTGCCGTATCCTGCGGGCATTGCCGATTGAGAAAGTGAGACCTTCATGTCCTTCACCGTTTATCCTTCAAATAACAAAATCCACGATCGTGACTGATTCCCGAATACCAGATTGAAATGCAGTCGTACCTCGCCGTGTGATTCATGTCTAAGGACAGGAGACGCGGCGTCATGCTCATATGAAGCTCCTCGAGACCCAATGAGTGTGGATGTGTTGACGGCTCGAATTGATCGACTTGAGGGCCTGTTGCTGTCCGCGGTATCATCGAATGATCATCGTCTTCAGGCGAACAAGAATGCTGTTCAGGCCGGACTTTTGCCAGACTCAAAATTGGATGCTCAGAGCACAGAAATCGTCACTGGCGATAACAGAGCAAAGGACAGCGAGATTAAAGACCTGGTTTCAGCCGCTGGAATCTTGAAGATTGATGAAGCCGAAAATAAGACACTTTACATCGGAGGATCGCATTGGGTCTCGATCATGAGCGAAGTAGGTTGGCTTTCTTGGTTTCTTTTGAACATATTTCTTGGACTGTTTATTAACAATTTTTACCAGATCGAGGAGTTCAGGAATTATCTAGTCAATAATCACAAGAGTCTTGAAAAAAATGCTCTTGAGCTACGAGCTTTGTCTAAAGACGTCAGGAAGACACCAAGCTTACTACGTGGCATTGCTACACCCGCTTCTCGACAAGAGATTATATCTTATTTACCTTCCCCTGAAGTGGTTGAGATGCTTATCGATCAATTTTTTACCTCTTACGGGCTAACAATACGTTTGTATTTTCTTAATCCTTCTCATCGAACTGATACTAACAGGACTAAAAGCTATAATACACGAACCCACCTTTAGAAGAGAAGTCAGTTGCACACCCTATGTTTCTTGAGTCGTGGTTTAAAGGCTTTTAGGTCATGGATCATTGGTGCAATCCAGAAAAGACAAAAATTGTTTGGTTTGCTCTGCTGTTTGCCATGCTACATCTTGCCGAGTTGTCATATGTGACAACCGAAAAGCTCAGTAACAGAGTTTCCTACGAGATCACGGGCATTTACAAAACAAGGACGATCCAATGCCTCATAGCATCAGACTATACCGATCCTGTTGGTTACACAATCGAGGCATTGATGTTGTACATCGAAGCCGAATGGATCACCGAGCGAGACCTCAGCATTGAAACGTCAATACTACTTGGCTCCGCAATTCGCCTGGCTATGCGAATGGGAACTCACCGGAACTCTAGAAATTACAGTCTTACACCATTTCAGAGCGAGATGCGTCGGCGGCTTTGGGCGGTCATTTATCGGGCAGATATTTTATATTCATTTCAATTGTCCCTGCCACCCAATATCCGGCAGCGAGATTGCGATTGTGGTCTTCCGCGGAATGTTAAAAATGAAGATTTTGGAGAAACGACCGACTTACCACCTGCGAGGCCGTTAGAAGAGCCGACAGAAGTAAACTACCTCATTACGAAGCATCGACTGTTGATTGTCCTGGGAAATGTCATTGAATTCATCAACGATAATTCATCGCTAGATGGAAAGTTTAGAGAGCTGGAAGAAAGTTTGCACGAAGCTCGCAAAATGATCCCTCCGTACCTCCAACTCAGCGACCCAGAGCCTACTAGCTTTGATACCTTAGGTCTCAGAATGCAACAAATCGGCCTAGACCGTGTATATCAACTGAGCAGATGTCTCCTACACCGAAAATTTCCTCGCCGCTACCGCAACGACCCAGCCACAATCTCGCACCGCGAGTCTTGTATCTCCGCAGCACTAATCCTACTGTCTCATCAATCAAGCATATTTCTAGATTTCGACTCTGCGTATCCGCTAATCGTACGCAAACGACACATGTTTACGCTCATGTCCCATGATTTCTTCATCGCCGGAATGGCCGTTGCTTTAGAATTGCAGTTTGGATTTGAAGCAGAACCCGTGTCTCAGAGTCCTGGTGATGTGGCCTTTTGGGGATATGATAAACGTGACGAGATGGTCGCAGCGCTTGAGACGTCGACAGAGTTTTGGCGTATTGCGAAGGAAGAGTCTGTGGAGGCAGCCAAGGCGTATGGGTTATTTTCGCTTGTGTTGAGGCGGGTGGTTGGAGAGTCGATGAGAGGTACCGGTGATAATGAGTCGAGGGAGGTTACGGGTCTGAATTCTCACATTGATTTTGAGTCGCTGAGTGAAATGCCTGAATTCGACTGGGTAAGCTAAAACCTTTGCGTGAGCCTGTGGATTGCAACTAATTTGTGGCTTTAGGAACTCTGGGGAGCTCATAATGGAACCTGGGATCTGAATAATGAGTCGAATCTTTGATCACCGAGGTCAATGTTAACGTTATCAGCACAGTACTTTGTGTCCCCAATAAGTGCCTGGTCAGATGACTAAACGGAGATGAACTTCTAAGATATGTCCAACCATCTTGAAATTTTATCGTGTGCCAATATGCGACTATGTTTTACATAGGAATCTGAAAGTCCGGACAGGGGTGCGGGGTTAACGGGAAACATATTTTTGGTTGGACAGGGGTTCGGACATAAGCTTCCGTCCTACCAAACGCAACGCAAAACCTTTCCCTACCTGACAACGACTCCTGATATAAAAATGGCCATGCATCCTCGAGAGATGTGGACTTGTCAACCCAGTATTTGAAAATAATAATTCGTCTTGACTTCACCAGACAACATGGCAGCTCCCCCTCCCTATACCGGATATAACTTCACTTCGACTATTCATAGAGACATCAACCCCTCTACGGACCCCACTAAGAGCGACCTCTCTCAACCATCCAAGGTCGTTCTCATCACCGGTGCTGGTAAGGACAACAAGTTCTTTCATACTTTCATAATACACTTCCCCTTCTTATCCTGTTCTATCTCATGTACTCTATTCCCCTGTCACACTTCGTGAAACGGAAACTTGTTCTTCATCATCTGTCAAAACACCCTTGCACAGGATATAACTAATCTCTTCTATCATCTAGGCCGCGGAATTGGGCGCTCAATCGCCCTTCAATATGCCGCCGCCAACGTAGCCACCGTGATCATCTGTGCACGAACGGCTACCGAACTCGATGAAGTCGAGCAGGACATCCACAGCATCAAACCCTCCGTCAAGGTCCGCAAGCTACCACTAGACATCAGCAACGACGAAGATGTCGCCGCCGCAGCAACAAAAGTCAAAATCGAAGAAGGCCGTCTGGATGTACTGATCAACAATGCAGGCGCAAGCGACGAGTGGACGCCTATTGACGAAGGCGATGTGAAACAGTACTGAAATACGTGGACGGTGAACTTCAAAGGCACCTACCTGATGCTTCATGGCTTCTTGCCTTTGCTCGTGGATACTGCCAAGGAGAGGAACACTTTGGTTGATGTTGTTAACGTAACCTCAATCGGTGCCCACGTTATCATCCCAGGGGCATCGGCGTACCAGACTTCCAAGTTTGCAATGCTGAGGTTGACGGAGTTTGTGCAGGTAGAGTATGGCGATAAGGGCGTCACTTGTGTTGCAGTACATCCTGGGGGTGTGTTGACTAGAATGTCGGCTGGGATTGATGTCATTCGATCGAGTGAGTGGCTTGTGTTAATTGCTATATATAGATGTGGTATTGTGCTAATATTGGATAGCGCTGACTGATACGCCGGATATGTGTGGAGGGTTTATCGTCTGGTTCACGAAAGGGCAAAGATCATGGTTGAGTGGAAGGTATCTTAGTGCTGCGTGGGATGTTGATGAGTTGGAGGCAAAGAGGAGTGAGATTGTGCAAGGGGAGAAGCTTAAGATGAGGATGGTAGTCTAAGCTGTCGGACGGATCTTAAGAAGACATATATGAGCCAAATCCTTGGTCCCAATATCTGGCGTTGCTTGAACCTTCAAAATCCAAAAATACGTGCTTCCTTCCTCTCTGACTTGTCAAAAGATCTTCCACAGCACTTTGTCTGCTATCGCTGCGTTCAGCTACATGCCAGCGGTGCAGTCCAAAGGCCCCGAACCACTCCAAAAACCCTCACTCATTGCCTAGATGAAGAAGCTGCTTTTGAGCATTGTTCACAGTCAGGATTATTTCTAAGATTTCCCCATATCCAATTGGCAATGAATAGACATTATCTTGGGCCTAGTGATGGGTTTCCTTTGGAGGCTTTTCAGAGCACCGAGGTTGTAGAGAGCGATCTCTGTGGGTACATTGTCCTTCTATCTGTTGACGCCTAGATTGTCTCCAACGAGATTCTCATGCGATCCCAACATGGGTACTACTGCCGCACAACAGGCGCGATGAACTCGTTACTAAGCGTATCTTCCATCATCTCTATCATCATATATGGGCTCTGGGTAAGGCGGGGATAATCTACCGAACTTGATGAAAAGATGACTTGATCTTCTACAAGAACAAGGTCGGTGCTGTACCTCGACTGGGTAGTGCTTGAAATGCCCAATGGATTTCGTTTTGGATGCTGCAGATCCTGGGGAAAGAGGCATCACCGGCTGTGTCTCACACGGTGGATTAATCTTGGTGCCGGCTTGCATCCAGCAGATCCAAAATGGCGAAGCCATCTCGGCAAATCGTTGCCGAGAGAAGTTACTTATGAACCGCACCCCTTTGGGCAGTATTGGCTCGAGCTTTGAAACCAGACTACGATATCGTCTAAAGACCTTACTGCTCGGAACATATACAATCTCTTGTCAAGGCATGAACGTAAGCTTATTACTCGCATAGCAGATGGGTTTATTTGGAAATTGGTTTGCAGCGACCCGCATCGGTGGTGTGTTGAGCATGTAGAGCAGAGCTTGGGAGGGGCCCCAGCCTTGGTTGCAGTTCTCAATTCTTGGATGTGATTTGTTTGTCCGTCCCTATTCCGTGATAGCAAAGCACGTATATTATAGCACAACTTGTCAAAAGCAGTTTCGGGGAACTTTGGAGCCCAAAGCTGAGTATAAGTAAAGATCAAGTGATGTGATGTGATGTGATGTGATGTGATTAAAGTTTCTAAGATGAGATGCGATGCAATGCCATTCATGTAAAAACAAAACCCTCCAAAACTGTCCCGTATTGTATCCGAATCTATCCATCGTTCCATCATCTCATCCATCTCGTCCATCCCTTCTACCCCATCAAAAACCCCATCTCTCTCAAATACCCCACTTAACCCCTAACTAATGCAATGCAATTTAACCCAAAAGAAAAGTCCTGTTTTCCCCTCGAAACGTTTCTGTCGATAGTTCATTCATATTCCTTCCATATAGGTACTTACCACTCACTAGGCCGTTCCCTCTGGCTCATACGCTCAATCAAGCGCTCCCTTTCCCGCTTACTCCCCACACTACTCACGCTATCGCTCGGCGCGACACTCGGTTCATACCCGCGCGAATTCGCCGCACTGCCGCTCACGACACTGCTACGCGGTAATTCGACCTGCGATGGCCGCACGCTCGCAGCGTCGTCGTCGCGGGATTTGACGCGGATGGTGGTTGTCGAGGAGGCTTTGGAGGGCGGCGCGGTCACGTAGTGCGCGGCGAGCGGCTTGACGGTCGAACCGCTGCGTGCTGTTGTGCCGCTGTGTGCACTGCGTGCGGTATGGTAGCTCTCGCGATCATGGTCGCGGTGAGAAGAGGCAGTGGTGTGGTAGCTGCCCTCGCGATCATGGTAGTTGCCCTCCCGCTCCTCGCCGGCATCACGTCGCGAGCTCCGCCTGCTGACTGCAGTGCCCGAGACCCCACTAGCTGGACTGCGGTTGCGTGGGGTAGGGGCAGGGAGAATAGCGAGTGGGCGTTCGTGGCGAGAGCCAGTACCAGAGACGTCGTCGACTCCGCTGCGACTCGGCTGGCGGGAGCTGCGCGATACGTACGAGCGTTCTTCGATGGGCGCAAGCGCGCGAGAAGCAGGCGCGGGGACGACGTAGCGGGGACGGATATCTTCTGTCTCGCCCGAGTAGCGGGACTGGGAGACGTAGCTGCGGGCTGGGATGTGCTCGATGACATCGCGGCGGTGATTGCCATAGCTGTATGTGGACTCGGCGGGGTAGGATTCGGCGCGAGTTAAGCCTTCTCGGCCACTGTCCCGAGGCGCGAAGCTCTGGCTCTGGGATGGAGATGCGCGCTCGGGCGATTCCGAACGTACCATGGCATATGCAACGGCTGCGCCAGCTGCGGCTCCTAGCAAAGTACCGATGATTGCTCCTTTGCTCATGGGCTTACTCTTTTCTTCGGGGATGATACCGCTACCCCGATCCGAATCACCACCACCACCCCCTCCATTACTTCCACCTCCGTTACCGCCACCTCCGTTACTACCACCATACCCATGATGTCTTCTGTAACTCTCTGTAGTGACGATTTCTCTTCTTAAAACTTTGCCCTGATTCCCAGTCCCTGACTGCTGCGAGGGTGCATGCGAATAATGATGGGAAGATGGTGCGGCGGCTGGATATGTCTCCGAGCGTCTGAGAGTAGCTGGAGGAGGAGCGCGCTCGTGGTATGAAGATGAGGTGGGGGCCTCTGAGGCATTATCGTCGTCTACGGAGACGGACCTCGCGACTTCATGCTGCCATTGCAGCACCTTGCTTGACTCCTTGTCTGGGACTACTGTTGCGACAGTGCGTGGATGAGATTGAAGGTGGGCATGGGGAAGGTGACTGTAGGCACGTGATGCGGTGTAGTAGGGAGATGCTGCTTGTATCATGGTGTTTCTTCGTAATGACAATGATGTCTTTCCAGTCCTCTTACTTTTATTGAATATGCTCGAGTTGATAAAGTGGACTTGCGGTATGTTTTAAAGGCCTTCGGATATCGGTGAACGTTTTCGGAGACGAGGGTGTGAGATTATGTTGTGGAGACGACGATCGTTGAGTTGCAGGCGCTTATATGGGTGGGTGACAAGAGAAAGTGTTGTCCTTCAAATTCACACTTGTTGTATTCTTCGATAACGATCAAAAGGATCAAAACTGAATGGTAGGTCCAGCGTTGAAGGATTCTAAAGATGAAAGAACCTTGTTTAGTGGTGTGCTTTAGACTTCAAGAGGAGGGTACTGACCGACTGTTAAACTCACGATGCAAATGATTCACACAAAATGAATGTGCGAAGGAAATATACTTACTAAAATACTGTTTCTGTTTGTAAGGATACTTTTTGCTGGCAGGAGAATGTCAGTCTGATGTATCAAAGGTGCAGAAGTCTGCAGTTCTGCACTGGCATGTATGCACGCTCACGCGGACGAGGCGAAAACGGTTCAGTGGTGTGGGCTTCCCGCGTGAAACCCCACAAGCATCCCTCCCAACCTACGAGATGTCGTTTGTGCTTGGCTTTGGTCTGGCCCGGATGTGGCTCAACCTCTGATTGATTATTCTTCGTACAACTCATTGACTCGACCTCCACTTCTCATACATCACCCTTGAGGACCGGCCAGGTATATACGGCATGCACGCCCCATTGTCTGGACCCCTCATTCAACCTCGGACGAGTAATAGAAGGTTGTGTATCGTAAATTGCGATGTGCCCTGCATACGGATTCTTTAAACCTTCTCTCCGCATGCCACGTTAAGGGAGCAGCCAAGCCTACTTCACCTGCATATGCAGGCGAGTGCGTTGGGCTAATAGGATGTAGTCCCCTCGCGGGTTTCTTGCGCACTTTCCAAATACAAATATTAGGGCGAACATCAGAATGCCCCAAGCAATCATATCATGGGACGAATGGATCGATCTGGTAAGACCAGAGTTACACGGGGCGTTTGACCCGAGGAGCTTCTGTTGCAGCATGTGCATGTGTATGTGTAAGTCGTGACCACCTCCCATACGTCTGACTTGGCAAACCATGTATGTAGATCGCAAGGAAAGTAAGTAGGGCGAACCGGGCAAAGAGGCTAAATAGTCACTACCAATGAATGTTTTGATACTGGAAAAGACATGGTATTTTGCGCCCCATAGATTGACTGCATAGGCGGTCGCTGTCGCCCAAACGACTCGCATACCGTATCGTACCACCGCTGGATACAAAGTCTATGGAAGCCTTGTCGATGCCCAATATCTCTCCCAAATTCCATCTTAACCTTGATAGATCATTCGGTGCTAAAGGGGGTAACTTATCGTCTCAGCCAAATAGCAACTAAGCTGTAGCCTGATGTGATATGTAGAATGGAGACAAAAAGAGATGTGGACACAAGTTGAGTTGGTCCACGAAGACGACTAAAGCGTCTTGGATCTGATGTTGAACGCCTGATGTTTTGGTTGCAAAAACAGAGGACAGAGCACACAGACACCCAAGCCCGGGCATACTACTAGCATAGGATTCGATGTTGGTATCGAAGCTTCTGCTAGCAGTCCCGCTTTCACCTTGAAATCGAACCAATCTCCCATGCTGTCTCCACATTCCAGTCGTAATTCGCCGTTTGTCGAATCGTGTCCGTCGGACCGGATCGGAGTGGGGTCGAGAACGAGGCTGACTAGATTACGTCCCACGCATCTTCTGCAGCGTGGCAGAATTTGCTACATGCTACACTTGCTGAGAGACTAAAGTTGCTGATGGATATCTTGTCGTCGACAAACTGATCCGCAAAGGTGTCGGCGCCCTTTGCCATCGCTCCGACAAAGACGCAAATACTCTCGTTCTCATCTAGCTTCTCCACGTACTCTCGTACACGTACAACCTCTGACTCGTAGCTCAAGGTTACCTTTCGGCAATTGGGTGGCAGGTGGTCGGTGATGGGGTTTGCGATGACCTTCAGCAGCTTCTCCTGGGAGTTGACGGATCGGATGGAAAGTCGGTGGAGAAGTTGGACCATGAGACCGGCGAAACGCTTAAAGGTACGTGGGATACGGACTGTTGGGCTGACTTCGATGAGGACGCCTTTGGCGGTATGTATGTAGATTTGAAGTTTGCCGGCCTTGTTGATCGGAGAGTCGAGGAGGGTAAGGAGACACTAGAGAGAGGTCAATAAACACTGTGCCTTTGATGGAAGACTGTCCTACCTGATGAGTGATATCGGGTCTTGCATCACTGATATCGCGGTTCATCTTGCGCATAACACCGATGTGCTCGTCGCTGTTGAGGAGCGAATATTTCTCGTCGCGCTGGCCTGGTCTGCCACCTCCGTGCGACGCCTTGTAGGTCTCGAGACTGGCATTGGAGAGGACAACGATGAGGCGTTTGCTGCTTTTGTCGCTGGATGGAATGGGGACATGTTGTTCAGCGACGAGCTGAGGGAGCTCGGGCGGGGGGAGCGACTGGGTTCCTGACATTGCGATGATTGATCAGCTCCTATGCGCAGAACTATGTTGAATAATTTGCAGAGATAGTGTTGTGTGCGAGCTATTAGATGTGTGACTGCGCTTTGTTGGGGCTCTTGTGGTGAAGGAGGGGGAGGGGTAAGGGCAGGAGAAGAAGTTTTGGTGCAAAGAGCTAAAACCGACGGACGGCTCGCAAAGAAAAACAACAATCTAATCTAACAACTGCGACGACGGCCCGAAGGATAAGGTACGAAGAAAAAGAAAAAAAGAAAAAGAAGAAAACAATCAAGTCTGTGAATTGTACTCAAGTGAACTGGATTTGATTGAATTGTTGCTTACTTGGTCGCTTCACGGATCGTGATTCCGGGGACGACATATCTGAGTTTGGCTGCGGACGATGGTGAGTATATCAGAAGAATGCTCTCTGTCTGGTTCTGGTTCTCGGGATTGTGGCGGAAGTGTGTACCTATTGCTTGGTTTACTTTTACCTCCGTACAGACAATTGCGTGCGTAATTAACAAGCTGATGGTGGGCGTGAGGCAGATTGTGTGGGAAGGAGAAGATTTGATGAGAAGCTGCTGACACAAATGATGGTTGGAGAGAAGAAGTGGAAGAGGTGTTCTTTTGTGAGAATCCCTTGAAAGATGGGATGCGATGGATGGGATAGACTTGTGAGTGAGGGCTAAAGTTAAATTTAAAGCCGTCCTTCGGTTGTCCGAGAGAAAGTCCGCGATCCTAATGTCCCAAAGGGGCAGAGCAGCACAAGGTGTCACTACCTTAGGTGCCGGCTTCGGAGACCGGAACATGATTTTCTCTCACTCTTTCTCTTTCTCTTTCTCTCCCTGTCTCTCTCTCTCTGTCATCTGAATTGTGCCTCATGACTAGCCACCACTCTGTAAGTACATAGGGCTAGGTAGGGTAGAGGTAGGTAGGTAGGTAGGTACTTCTCAGCTACCGTAGCAAGTTGCTTTTCAGTATAATCACCTCAAAACTTCCGACTTTATTGTCTAGCTACCACATAAAAACACGAATATATATCATTTTAGCATTTGCATAGTTATCTAGCTATATACAGACTCATCCACTCAACTTCACCCTCTTTGCCTTCTTCAGCGTCGGTGCCGATCTCTTGCCCGCCCTCTTCGAACCCAAAGGCGAAGGCGGCCCAGTATACAACGGCACCTGATTCCGTTTCATCGTCGTATTCCGTTGCTTTTGCTTTTGCTTCTGATTTCGCACCACTCGAGTATAGCTCCTCCCATTCCTCAATGGCACCACGTCCTGCGCACTCGTATCATTCGCACCTCCTACTTGTTCACTCGCATTTTCCGGCTCCGACTCCAAGCTGCGAGGTTGGGGTTGGATACCGGTGTCGGGTGCAGTAGGGAGGAGCGCGTCGGTCTCTGCATTTGTGAGTCGGATGCTGTTTTGGACTATTTCCAGACCTGTTTTCTGTGCTTCTTCCAGCAGATGTTTCTCGTTGTTGACTTCTTCTTGCAAACTCGCAATCTGGTCCGCTTGTCTACTTCTGTCTGAGACACAGGCTGAAAGGCGTTGTTGTTGCTGTTTATTGAGAGCGAGTTGCGCGTTTAATTGGGCGAGTATCTCTGTTCGTTGCGCCTCGCTTTCGTCCAAGGCTACTGCATCAGCTCGCAACCATTCCAGCTCGTCTTCTATGGATTGTCTGGCAGCTTCTGCAGTCTCAAGCCGCGTTCGTTGGTCTGCGAGGTTGGTGTTTAGCTGCCCGATTGCGTCTTCGCGTTCATGTTGGAGAGATGTACAATTTCTAAGGAGTTGGCGTGCTTCGGTAAGTTCAAGGTCCAGTTGACTGATGGCATCCTCATCTCCAGCTTCTCCCGATTTAGATCTGGCTGCTTGAAGGCGTTGAATCTCTTCCACTGCCTCGCGTCTCTCTTGTTCCACAGCATCTAAACGTGCCTGTTGTGTTGCAAGCTGCTCGTTCAGGTCAGCAATTCTACTAGATTCCTCTCCGACTCCGCCAGCAGCCATGTTGGCAGCTTGAAGACGCTGGACCTCTTCCACTGTCTCGCGTCTCTCCTGTTCCAAGACCTCTAGGCGTAGCTGTTGATCCGCTAATTGATCATTCAGTTCCACAACCGCATTGGTATCTCCACTTCCTTCTGCAGAATCCTGAAGCCGCCGAACCTCCCTCAAAGCAGTATCTCTCTCATGCTCAGTAAGCTCCAAGCGCAATTGCAAAGTCTCGATTTGAATATTGAACCGCTCAACCGCACTTGATTCCTGGTCTTCAACTCCAGCTTGCGCAGTAGCAGCGGCTTCGAAAGCGCTCTGAACAGCAGCGGCTCTCCTCTGCTCACACGTATCAAGGCGCCGCCTCAGCTCCGCAAGTTCGACATTATGTTGCGCAATCGTCGTTCTAAGTCCATGCACTTCAGCTCCTAGACGAGCACTCTCGGTCTGGTGCTCTTGCCTATCGCGATCAAATACCTCGATTCGTCCGTGCAATTGGCCGATGAGGTGTTGGTCGTCCATGCTATGCCGGGAAAGAGCGCTGATTACCTCCTCATGTTCCGCGATCTTTACCTCTAGAGTCGCTATCTTGGCCTTCGTAGCAGAGTGTGCTGCCGTGAGAGCTTCATTCTCTGATGTAAGAGACTGAATCAGTGCTGCGTTTTCTGTATTGATAGCGATCTGATCAAGTTCTTGAGTTTTGGCTTGTGTGGCTCCAATTCTTTTCATTAAAGCTTCCTTTTCTTTCTTGGCATTGGATCTGGCTGCTGATATAGCATCGATTGCGTAGTCAAGATTAACCTCGAGTAATTCCGTTTCGGCAGTTGCTGCCCCAAGATCTCTAGTCAGGAATGCCTTTTGGTGCTCACAGTCATCTTTAGCTTCGGACTTCTGTAAACTGCCCATGCGACGTTGGTCTGTGGAATTGTTTTGACGGCGTAGCTCTGCATTCTCTGCTTGGAGTCCAGCAACGGTTGCGTTGAGGAGCGTTAACTGTAATTGCAGCGTGTTAATAGTACTTGTTTCTTCGCTTGATTGTTGAGCCTGGGCTGGACTTTGGTCTGTAGGCTTGTTTTGAGTCCGTAACTCTTGGTTCTCTGCTTGGAGTCCAGCAGTGGTTGCTTTTAGACGCGTCAATTGCGTTTGCAGCGTGTTAATGGTACTTGCATTGTCTGCTTGAAGTCCAGCAACGGTTGCATTTAGAACTGTGAGTCGCGTTTGGAGCCTGTTGATTGTACTTGTTTCTTCGCTTGATGGTTGAGCCTGGGCTGGACTTTGGTCTGTGGATTTCTTTTGAGTCCGTAGGTCTTCATTCTCTGCTTGGAGTCCAGCAATGGTTGCATTTAGACGTGTTACTTCCGTTTGGAGCGTGTTGATGGTTTCTTCGCTTGGTGGTTGAGGTTGAGTGTGGGCTGGACTATTTGAGCTTGAACTTGAGCTTGAGCCAGCCTGGTGATGGGCTCTGCACGTATCGAGGTCTGCCTGCAAATTACCCATGCTAACAAGCGCTGTCTCCAACTCATCTCGGACTACCTCCAACTCATTTCTGACTCTGGCACTCTCACTCTGTTCCTCATTGATCTGATCATACAGCTCTTCTTCGTTAGTATAATCATTTTCCAGCTCTTCAATTCTCTGATGTGCCAGCAATAATAGTTCGTCGTTTTCTGTGGCTTGAGCGCGTACACCTTCCAATTCCCTGACTTGAAGCTCCAAGCCTTCCGTATGCCGCACGCTGGCTGCGAGTAGGCCTGCGAACTGCTCCCTGACTTGCAGCGCGCTATTAGCGAGCTCGTTATCATGCCGCTCCTCCGCCTCTTGCAGCTCCGTTCTAGCGGCCTGGAGTTCGAGATTGGTATCTCGAAGCTCTTCTTGGGTGTCTTGAAGAGTAGCCAGCAACTTTGTATGCTCGTCCTGTTTAATCTGGGCCTCTTTTCGAGTGTTCGTTGTTTCTTGCTTGCGCTCGTCTCGAAGCCGTGCAATCTCCTGTTCATTTCGCTGTCGAAGACTTGTGATTTCTGCGTTGTGCTCGGCAATCTGAACTTCGTATCTACGGACTTGTATTGCTAATTGGGCGTTCCGATCCGCTTCATATTGCGATGTTTGGCTGGATAGATAATTATTCTCGGGCCTATTGTGTGCTGCCGAACCTTGGGCAAGCTGTAACTGTGCTCGAGCCAGATCTAACCTGGCATCTTTCAGTTGAAGCTCCTGGCTCTCGTTTAGCAGTTGAAGATCGCTATGCTCAACCTCCAGTTCTCGGCACGTTTTCAGCTGTGTCTGAGCTTCAGCCCACTGGACGGCAGTTGGTAATGGCTTGAGTTGCTCTCTCAATTTCTCATTCTCGCTAGTAGCTGCCGCAGTTGCCTGTACGTCAGCTTCAGCTTGGGCCGCTTGTTCTTCAAGACGAGCAAGTCTGGCCAGATACCCGTCTGGTGCATTGATTTGGTAGTGGAACGCATTTCGTTCGGCTTCAACTTCGTCTCGTTGCATCGTCATATCCTGTATTTCGGCACCTCCTTCATCCAGGCCAGCGGCTGTCAGGCGATCAATCTCCGCCTCCAAAGTAATCCTATTAGCCGCATACGCCCTATTTTCCGTTCTTAGACCATCGATTGTCTGCTGGGCGGCTGGAGGAATAGAAGTAGAAGCAGAAGCAGGAGTATTTGCCAATCCTCCTGCAGAGTTGATAGCTTCTTTGACCTGGCCGCTCAGCTGCGTGATTTGCGCCTGGAGTAACTCAGTACTCGCGGTCGATTGAGCCAATTCCTCGCGTAATGCTGTGATGCTTGCCTGGTGGCTCTCGGCCTGCGCGATGGCATCCTCGCGCACATTTGCAAGGGTTGCCTCAAGAGCTTCCTCGCGCTCTACTGCTTGGTCCAGCGCTTCCCACGTAAGTCCACTGTCCGACATATCAACATCTGCGTTATCAAAACTCATAGCAGCGGTTCAAACCGAGTCGAGACTTTTCGCATAAATCGGTTTGCAGTTGGTTTTTGGAGGGCAGAGGGCATTGTGATGGACTTGAAAGGTGTTATAAGCTGGACACAAAGGGACAGTGCGGGCTCTTCTACATCTTGACATTGACGGACAAAGCCATCGCCGGATTTGAGAACACGGGGGAGATTTTGACTTGAAATAAAGCAAGTATCTTAGAGCGGACATGATGTTAGGTGGAGAGACAGGAAATAAAAAAAAGAACGAGGTCAACAATGAATTGAAATTTTCTTTCTTCCTCAGTTTGAGGATGAAAAAGTATAACCATCTGTACTGAATGGATATTTGCTTGTAGTAAAGAGTAATAGGAATAGTATAGGCAACATTGCGAAGTGGGATTACTTGACCATTTCATCACAAGGCGAAACGCACTCTCATCTCGAAATTGAAGTTTTGCACAGCCAGCTCTGACGGCTCGATTCGTGTGGCCCTTTTACTCTGTATATCCCACGTCGTAATCTGCGTTCTGGACATGTTCTTTAATTGCCAATAATGCACTCGTGCTTAATTTGCTTTGGAGAAAGCTGTCTTGGCACGGCGGAGGATGGAGATGCTTTTATCGGTGTGGAATATCGTCAGAGCATCATTTGTGTAATAACCTACCATTAAGACCAGAATGTCGTGCGAGAAGGATGTAAAGCATAGAGGGGAGGTTGGCAGCAAGGAGAAGCCAGCCCAGGCTACGCGCGCCAAGAATTCCTTCCCAACAGAGTTTCGCGCTTTGAGCAGATTTCGCGGTCGTGGTCACCGCTCGTCTCTTCCAAAGTAGCAAATTTTATCATCATCGATAGCTTCATAGAAAGGTCCACGCCGCAGCGACGAGCCTTACGTGATTCAGCGGTACATACTGAGGGCAGGGTTATTTCGATTTAAGGTGAAGACTTGATTTTGTAAGATCTACGAATTGGTGGATACGATATTACGACGAGATAACCTCATGCATGACTAAGCTACTCGTACTCCGATGTTCCGTCCATCACGTGGTCCAAAAACAACCCCCACAGTGCTCAGTCGTCTCCTATTGCATCTCCTGCTGTAGCTGGAGCTCGGCGTTTCGTCCGGTCTTTCTTGGAGATGGTAACAATCAATTGGAATGTATTGACGACTGCAGGTGTAAAAACCCATTGGCCGGGTCCAGACTCTTATTTACGAGTCGCTCGGGGAGGGAACACAAAAACTTACTACGTCAATGGTTGAGTAGTGTTGACGGAAGATGTAATTGTAGATGAACACAAATGTCACTTCTCAGCCCTACCGGTACCTAGAAGACGAAGTGGGGACTCTAGGATTCCCTAATCGAATAGTGTACTAAACGTTCAAAAGACCTCCGTAGATGACATGTCATGCACTTAACAATGGCGCGAGGAGAATTCTGTGTGCCTGGCACTAGGAACTAAGAAACTAGGTTGACGTTGGGTAATATACTTAAAACCCCTCGATGTATAAGCAACAAATCAACAATCACAATCCTGGCTGCAGGAAGATGTTCCAGACCCACGAGTCTCTGAATTTCTACAAGACTGAAGATATACGAAGTAGACTCGAGTAAGATATGAGTACGATCCGTCGATGTTGAAGCTATCCAATGATGTCGAGGTTTCTTAGTAGCGATGGAGAACGGCGGTGAGGGGTGGGACGGGGTTGGAAGTTATGGCAGACTAGTTTTGACCTTTAATGCTTCATATATGGAAGTTGATTTTGATGTAGTCTCGTGATGCATAGGAACCCCCGAAACAAGCAGGTGTAGATGCACTATTTATAGTGAACCAGACTTGGAAATGTCGGTGAATTGAGGCGTCTCATCGTGGAACCAGGTACCCGTGTCGAGATCTTCTGGAGGTGCCTGCATGCCATTCCCATTTCACGTTTTCGGGCCATCAAAACCGGCAAATGGACAACAGATGCGGCTTAAAAACATGCACTGCAACCAAATACCATCAAAGAAGCTACAGAAACGATGCTTCGATTCTACCTGTCAACTTATTATACGACAATCAATAGGTCATCTTCAAGTCCCTTGCATCACATCATCTGGCCAAAGGCGTGCCTTGCATGTGCATTGGGAAAAGCATTCAGATGTTTGCTTGAACTAGACTGACTCAAACATCCATTATGGTTGGTGGTTTAGGTCAAGCTTGCCACAACCGAGACCAGATGATGCGAATTGTCTCTCGTGCGAGGGGCGAGGCCGGAACTTTATATTCTTTGAGGCTGGCCTGGGCTGAAGTGTAAAGGTACCGTGAAGTTGGGTTGGGTACGGTATTACAAACGCCGCATTCGCCGAAAGCGTGGGCATTGCATGTATCGGGAATGTAGTGCCGAGCAGCATGCCCCGAGCAGCATGCCTTCTCGTTCCCAAGTATGGGGGACCTGGTTCCGGAGGATGTGGTTTGACACAGCTTGACCCGAGATGCTTCTTGATCCTGTTGTTGTTGGTCTGTCGTGTTATGTTAGAGGAGGCTGGGCTGGCGAGTAAGTGCCAAGCAGTGAGCCCCTCATCCAAGCCAAGCCCCGCCGCCGTGCCCCTAAAACCCTTATCGAGCATTGCCCGATGAAAGCCGCCGTCGAGGAAAGACTTGCCGTCTGGTTACTCAGTATGACGCCAGGGACAATTTGCGACGAAGTTTAAAGTTCAAGTACAAGGACCTAGATTCCTACAGTACTCTGTAGAGTACTGCTTAGAACATCCTGTATCTCGGTCGCATATAGATTAGTAAGGAGAGTACCTTATTGCTGGTTCATATCCGTATGCTATCGGATAGCCGGACAGGAGGGGTTCTGGTTGTCAGCCTTCAGGGGGTTGGGGATAAGCCAATGCAGTGCACAGTCCGTCTGCAAGCTGAGCCCCTTTGGGAAAGGACAGGCACATTCAGGAACGAAGAATCCTGAAACAGTGTTGGTGCCAGCCTGGGAGTGGGCTTCGTAGGGCGACTAGAGCCTAGAGAAGACTAAAGTACGGGCGATGACCTGCCTGAACATGATCTCCTCTCTCCTGCCCCTCTTCGAGTGCGGTGCCCTGGCCTGGCCCTGGCAGGTACAGTAGGTACGAAGTAGTTACAGACTTAGAGTACAGTACAGTTCGTACCTATATCTAGCTGGTCGGAAGAAATAGGGGGGGGGGTAACCGCTGTCACTAGAGAGAGAGACTTTATTCGGTCCCAGCTATATCCATATCTATCTGACGCCCTACCCGATTCTCACTCATCTAGATGTCGTGCGTGTACTTGTACGGTATGATCTCAGCAATATAACATAACACCACACAAGTACGAAGTCAAGTTCACTCTTTCCCCGACCGTGACGAACCACCTCAAAGGCCGTGTCTGTCGTGTTTCCCACCCCTGCAGCTGCAATTCGTAAGCCCTCTCGCTTATCGTCACTCAAGCATCAGCCCTCCAATCCTTCCTTCTCCCGCTCCTGCCCTCTATCAACTGCAGATCTTGTCCTAGCATCAGCATCCAACACTTTGAATCGTCCCTCTACTCTACTCTACTCCATCTCCACCTCCTTCCCCTATCACCATCATTCTCCCAACTATTACTTACTTACATACTTCTTTACTGTATAGTACTCGACCTTCTCAACACTCCATACTCTTTTATCTCTATCATCATCGAAGCTTCCGAGTCTTCGTGTGCTGAAGGTTGATCCTAGTCGTCGATTACTACCTCCCGTCCGTACAGTACCTCTTGTCATCCCATCTCCCTCCCGGTCGCATAACCGCCTCCTTCTGCCCCTCCCTCGTCTTATCAACACCACCACTATCCCGAGCATTCTTCCGATAATACCAACGCACTCGATCGTAATATACTTCGCTCACGTCCTGCTAAAGAGCTACTCAGCACACCTGCCGGTCAGGCAGTGTCTACAACAATACAACAGGGGAGGAGCTGGGTTGCGGCTCATATACCCCTCGTACCTCATACACTTTTCGGCTTCCACGGCATATTCTCAACTCACATGTCTTAATGCGCTGATATAGCATCCTCCTCCATCACCTAATCTTCTCGCATCCTACATCTTTGACGTTCGACGTCCGACCTCCTGCGAATATTATTATCCGCTCTTCCCCGCCAACGATCCCCAGCCTCCTCGTCATTTATACCCCTACCGATTCTCAATACCTTCCCTCCCATACAACTCACAATGACCACTTTTCAACCTGTAAATACCAATCTTGCGCCGGATTCACACGGGCGCAATGGAGAGGAAATGACTCCAACGACACCTCGACCAAATACTGCACCAAGTATACAGCCACCCCCATTGCACCGAGATGATGCAACAACACCAACAAGAGCCAACTTTGGTGCTCTAGCAAGCCAGAGACCTCTTCCGACAGCCCCTTTCCCTGCCGCCATCAATGTTCCTGCGAATGACCAATCTGCGAACCAAATTCCACATCGTGGTGACTCTCGTCACTCTGCACAGTCTAAAGAATCAGAAGATGTTGAAATGGGCGACTCGGACGACGGAGAAGAGGGGTCGGATGATGAGAGCGTAAATGCAGATGGCACCAAGACAAAGAAGAAGAAATCCCAAAGGTTCTTCTGCACAGACTTTCCACCCTGTGGCCTCAGTTTCACCCGTAGTGAGCATCTTGCAAGACATATCAGGTAAGCCAAGACCATCGCCCCCACATTCCCTTGTCTGACTTTTGAAGAAAACACACTGGTGAACGCCCGTTTCAATGCCACTGCTCACGAAGATTCTCTCGACTCGACAATCTACGACAACATGCACAAACTGTTCACTTGAACGAGGAGATCCCCCAAGACTCCTTAGCTGCGACTGGCACAAGGTTCCAGCGCCAAGTCAGAACAGAAAAAATCAGGGCGCCGGGCAGAGCGAGAGCCTCTACAGCAAGTAGTCAGTCAAGCCAAGGTAGGGGCCATCATCGAAATTCCTTATCGGCATCTAGCATTCAGAGTATGGGTTCTGTCTCTTCTGCGTATAGCCAAGGGGGAGATGTCAGACGACGCCCACCACCTTTAAGTATCGCCAGCGATCGTGCAAGATATTCACAAGAAATTTATCGAGCCGATAGCCCGTCGAGTCAATTTGGAGGATATCGTCCCAATTCACCAGGCGGCTTTAGTACTCCAACTTCAGCTACATTTTCAACTGGCAACAACAGTCCTCGCTGGGGATCCGGTATGCAATCGCCAATCTCTTCTCACTCCAGGACAGCCAGTCTGTATGCTGAGCATCGAACTCCGGGCCGGAGATTGTCTGTACCATCTGCAAATCCGTTTACATCTCCACATGGAAACTCCCCCTTCGGTCCGAGCCTCCTAACACCTATAAATTCGTCGAATATGGGCTCGTTCTCCCCCTCGAGTAGTATGATTGCTAGCCCCACTACCTCGACTAGTGGATCAATATTCTCAGGACGTCGGGAGTCAATCAATGCAGCAGATGATTTCAGACGTAGAACATGGCACCCAGACGTTACCTCTTCAGGATATACGCAGAGCAGGCTGCAAGTTGTCACAACACCAAATTACTATTCACATGGACCCCCGCCTCAGCCTACGTCGATCGTTCCAAGTAATGCACCACCATTGCAATCGATGCGGCTCCCTGGTATTGAGAGTTTTGATCCTATTCGAAGACCAACCACCCCTCCCAAACGTCAACCAAGTCCAATGATGGTTGACACCCCAAGCCGAGTTCTTCCCCAAACTTCTGAGCAATACCATGGCGAACGGCGAAACAGCCAGCACTGGGATATGGGCATCAATCGTAATCTTAATAGACTTGACATCGCACAGGGCACGCCGCCAACCGATGCCGCTAGTTCCTGGGCTTCGGAAGCGAACAGAGCAGTTCAAGCACAAGCTGAGCAAACTCGCACTCAACCAGTTGTACGTTTCGAGGAGTCTCCATATTCCGCAAGGGCGCAGGCGAATGGAAGTTGGCACCATCATACTGTCAGTGCGCCGCCCATCACACCAAAAGAGTCAAAGCGGCAAGCTTGGTACCACGGTCCTGTACCATCCCAACATACCGCACCGGTTCAACGAACATCGCCTGTCGATTCCAGCGGTTCCGAAGGGGGGGTTCCTGGAACTCCACTAAGTTCCAATACCGGGGAACTCAACCCGGGAATTGTTCACTCCAGTGGCTGGGTCGAGAATCGTCATGGCAATGGTGTTGTCCCAGTTCCACAAAACCGAGTAGTCCCATCGAATGGATATGCTGGTTATCCTTCCCACAACGGTGTTGAAGGGGCATATACGTATGCACCTGGCTCTCAACCGAGACAAGTGCAACAACACCATATCCCCAAAACTACCGACAGCAACATGCTAAGGCTAGAAGCTTTGGTAGCAGTAGCTACCAGCGAGGGGAATGTGGCAGCCACTAGTTATTAGTGGCTAGAATGTGCCATTCATCAAGACACTTGGTAGGAAAGCTTAGAGGACGTACTTATATGTGTACGGGATTGGATTGTACATAACACATCCTTCACTTCATTCTTAAGATACCCGCGTTTATATTACGCCATGATGCCACGACCTTACGACTATACGAACAATCATTGAAACGAAATTCTGCGCCCACGTCTTGGAGATTATTCTGGACAATATGGAGCGTTTTGCATTGGAACAGGCGTTTATACATTGCTGTGCTCACCAGCACACTTTCTTTTTGGGTTCACCTCTTGTGTTACTTTACAGCAAGTTTTGCATGAGACATACGTTTTTTGGGGGGTATTTTCATATCAGTCGTTTGAGGATTTGCGTGAGGAAATAAAGGCTCTAGGTTTTGTTTGAATCGGGACTTCTGGACAGTGGGTTTTGGTCCTTGGAAGGTGGGTACTCTAGACGATGAGCGGGCGGGATTATTGCTTTGGCAATGCTATTATGCTACTTGCCTTATACCCATGTGATTGTTTTTGGACGGATCGGATAGGGAACCGGAATTGCTACACGCTTAATAGTTGAAACCCAGCCTGCTATTACTGTACCTGATTATCTCCTGTTATGATATTAAAGTTGGACTCCGCCTCATTCACTTGGTTCGCTCGTATTGCGAGACATGACTGGAAATCAAACAATCGTTGAAAGAGTGGTGTGCGGCGACATATCGTCTGTAGCGTAGTCCCTTGTACATCCGTAGGAACGTTACTTCCACCCCCTGAAAACCCACACGTGACATGTACACCATGCACCTTAGGCTCATTTATATTGATGAAACTATTTCTCTGCAAGTAATTCTATTTTTATATAGCAACATAGAGGAGATAATATAGATATGAACTACCCTTTATAAAAGGTATATAATATAATATAATCTATCTCGAAACATGTTCACCGCGCGCTGGTTTTAAATATATGATATGATACGATGCACAAGACTTCTATCGCAATCGGGGCCTCTTGAGCCTTCTGGAATTATTTATTCCTTGTCGTATCCATCGTGTAATGTAGTTGGCTTCATTTCATGGAGATACATGATCTCTAAGCTTAAATAACACTCGAGGGGCATGGCATGGTAGAGGGATCTAGATGTACTTCGTACCTAGGTAACATGTATATAGTGTCTATATACCGTACGAGTACCACCGGCTCTTGTTTCCTCGCCAAACGACTGCTTTTTGCCAATACGTGTACGGGTGTTCGCTTCCGCCTGTCGCTGCGGGTAGGTATTTTGGTAGATCTTGATTCTTGAGCTGTGGCCTAGTTCCGACGGTCGAATTTTCTTTGGATAGGATAGGATAGGATAGAAAACTGTCGGTAATAGGTATATTACAGATTCTGTGGCTCGCTCCCCGGCTTCAGAGCCAAGCCAAGGTATGTGCTTTTTGGTATAAAAAATGGACATGTGTTTCGCGTGTGAACTTGCCTGGACGGACTGTTGGTGGATTGGCAGAAAGACGATGCATGCATGGACGTATAGTAGGGACATGACAAGGCTTAGCCCGCCCCCCTTTCTGAGAGTATCGTATCCTCCCTACCTGGCCCTGGGTAGAACATTTGCTTTTATGTTAAACAATACTTGTAACAGACACCAGAAAAACCGAGACTGCCGCTTTCTGGGACATACAACCGCAACTATTCAACATCGAGGAAGAAGCGCAAATTTGCAATGCTAGCTATACCCATATCCTCATCTCCACAGAGAGAATAACGACACGGCACAGGTATGCCCGGTAGGTGCTAGTGCATTACCAAATCAAGTACTAGCAGGCATTTCTTATCCAAATTAGCGTCGATTAATCTATTCTTGACTCGTGCTCGTGTTTCGCTGTTCTTCTGGACACAGACAGATTACCTTCGTATAAGCTGCCAGTGTTTCATACTCTCAATTGTGAAGGCATATACAAATGAGCAGATGGATTTTTATAGGAATTTCAAGTGGAATGCGGAAACAATTTCAGCAGAAGCCTGTCTGTCTAATTTCTAGGCGCTTTTTCGAGAGTTGAAGCCGCCAACGCAAGAATTACTAGCTTATTATTTCATTTTTGGCACATGTTTAGGGGTCTTGTATACCAATACTAAGAGCTTAATAACCTCTGAAGTAATAAGATTCGTACTCGTAATTATGCGAGCATCTAGTGAAGCTTTGCATATATGATTTTAGCCTGCCCATACCACATATGGACGAGAATAACCTCTAGAAGAAGAACAATCAATATATGTTGGAATTAGAGTTCAGGCGTGGGCCGTGCAGTATCCGGAAACCCCTCCCCGCCCCGCCCTTCACTGGTGTAGCTGAAAGCTCGACCTTCTCCTTCGATACGCGCATTGCATCTTTTGTTACTACTATTTCTCCACTACTATGCTGAATTGTCTATATTACAAGTAGAGAAAGCGCTCATCCAGCCTAGAGATGCGACTGCTGAGTGTTCTACCTATCCCCAAGGGAGTTTAGTGCTGTCAGCCCTCTCCGCCCCCCGCGCTCAACGGGACGCCCCAGACAGAAACCGCGTGCTTAATTCTCTCCATTCTTTCAATTATCCCCTTCCATTCATCATTCGACTTTAAACACAGAAAGATGGCTGAGCTTTCAGAGCATCAACCTCCACAAGAGGCAGACGCTGAAAGTATCCCCCAGGTCGAGGAGCAACATTTTCCGCGGGAAATGGTTCCTGAAGCTGTTCAGACAGCGGAGTCTGGAAATAGTCCTCAGACGGGACTACCAGCTGAGCCAACCGACGACTTAAGCCATCCACAGAATCAAGCTCCGCTACAGATTGATGAAGATGTACAATCCCTCCTATAACATATCGAAATCCATCTAATATGATGGTATACAGAACTCATCAACCGATTCCGCCTATGGCTCCTCGGTAGCATCCTCAAGCGACTCTCTAGGCTCCTCTGTCACAAATTACCTATACGAGAACGGTCGTCGATATCACGCATACAAAGAAGGCGAATACTATCTCCCGAATGACGAAACAGAGCAAGCACGTCTAGATCTTCAACATCATATATACCGGCTCTGCCTGGGAGGAAATCTATACTGCGCACCGATCAAAGATCCACAATCAGTTCTCGATATTGGAACAGGAACAGGAATATGGGCTATCGAATTTGCAGATGAATTTCCAGGCGCGGTAGTCATAGGAACGGACCTTTCACCCATTCAACCCAACTTTGTGCCACCAAATGTCAAGTTCTACGTCGACGATTTTGAACAACCATGGGATTATCAGGAAGTAGGGAAGTTTGATTTCATACATTGGCGGTCCTTGAGTGGGAGTACTGGAGATTGGTCTAAGCTATATGGACAGGCTTTCAATAATCTGAAGCCGGGCGCCTTTTTGGAGGTGCATGAATATGATGCAGATGTTTACAGTGATGAGGACCCAAATTTTGAAAAGGCACCGTGGACAAGGAGCTGGGTAGGTTTATTCTCATACGAAAACCAATTTCTTTTCAGGGGAGCTTCCTGAGACAGCTCTTAGGCTTACTAGTTCTCTCTAAACACTTGATTTCTACCTATGTTAATTCCTAGGGTAGTGCGACACTTTGAACGCGTCAAGTACTGCTTTCGGGAAGACTTTGAATGTTGGACGCTTCCATAAACAATGGATGGAGGAGGCTGGGTTTGTGGATATTAAGGAGAAAGTTGTGAAGGTAAGCATAGCTATGTGAGGTCGAATCTTGCTAATACGGTCATGTAGTGCCCTATGTGAGAAACCTTTTCACTCCTGAATTTGAACCTGTGTCTTCGTCAGGCCCGAACTTCTACCCAAAATATAGAAATGTCTCAGACCCATTGCTAACTTCTTTTTCCAGAGGGCCCTGGACTAAAGACCCGCAGCTTAAGGAACTTGGACGGTTCGAGCGATGGCATATGAATGAGTAAGTTACTCCCGAAGCTTTTCGTCAGCATCTAATCAAACCTCGACTTTCACTTTCATTTTACAACTATGGTAGAACTAGAAGACTGATATTTCCCAGGTCGGTGGAGGCGCATTCTATGGCTCTATATACACGAGTTTTAAATCATTCGGTGGACGAGGCAAAGATAGCATTTGAAATGGTCAGAAAAGAGTTCAACGACAGGAAACTTTTCCTCTACACTGTATATCGATTTTACCACGGAAGAAGAAGACCAGAGGTTTGAAATTAACATGGCAGAGACTGGTTTAACGATCAATTCCAAACCCCAATATATACAGCCGTTATTTTAATTCGTCTTATTGTTCAAGAACCGGTGTCCAGTCTTGTTTTTTGAAGAACTCCTCTAGGCTGGTCATTGGGCATTTAATGCCGGCCTTCAAATCGCTAGATTAGCTGAGTACGTTCAAATTAGACATGAGACGTTACCTTTTCGAGATCTGCCGCCTTCAAGAGCGTTGGATCTGCACCGTCATATCCCGGACTTGAAGAGTATGCGAACATATCTCCTGCCTCCTCCCCAAACGCTTTGTCTGGTGACGCCGCAATGAACTGCTCAAGAGTGATCTCTTGGTACTTTGTGGGCTGTTTTGTAACCTTACCCCATGTCTTCAAGAACTCGGGCCAAGTAGGTCTCGATGCCTCAGCTATGTAATTCCTACCTGGCGGCATCTGGGAAACAGCATAGACAAAGGTCCCGGTATCGGAATTAACATCAAGATGAGGCACTTGAGCATCCGGGGAAGTCGGGAAGCTCATCTGAAACGTGCCATCTGCCGTCTCCTTGCTGTCAGCTGTCGAAGAAGAGCAAGAGGGAGGGAGACATTACTAACCTTGTTAAAATACGCCCCAATGGCGAGTTTATAGCTACTCATAAAGTACCCCGTCTGAACACACGACATCTTCTTCGCCAACTCCGGATGCTTCTCATTCACATATCCAGGAAACACATCCGCCTTTGCATCAAAGTGATAAAGCTCCCCAAAGGCCCCCTTGCTACACCTTCCCGCATGACTTAACGTCGACGCAATAAGCCCATTCCCATCCAACCCCCCCGCCACTGCCGCCGCCGCATCCGCAATATTCTTCCCCTGCTGCAGCTCAACCTCGTACGCGAATTTCCGGTACGAGATGTCCCTCTCCGCAGCCTGTGCTCGACAATCTGGGCGGAAGAATGGCTCCCAGTAATTCGTGACGCTGAAGATCACGTGTGAGCCCTCGAACGCTCTGCGCAGACTCGCGACATCGTCGAGATCGGCTTGCATGATCTCGATGCCTTGGCTGGCAAGCTTCTGCGCTGCTGCTGAGGCCGCGTTGCGCGTTACCCCGCGGACGCGATAGTTGGGGTCTTTGAGGAAGCGCTGCGCGACGGAGCCGCCTTGATTGCCTGTTACGCCAATGACGGTGATTAGTTTTGCCATTGTTGTTTGTTGTGGGTTTACTAGGAGAGGGTTACGGCCTTATCGATGATGAATTGACACGAATGGGAATCATGGAGTGACGTGTCACGAGGGTGGGGTAAAGGAAGTGGAGTGAAGTGAAGTGGATTGGATTTCCGATTTGGTCGCCCAATGAAGTAAGTGTGTAGCTATATAAAGATAAGTTCCCGTTCACTCACTCGTGAATTTAAGCTAAGATTCACGAGTGAACTATAATCACGTACTTCAAACGAGGGTATATGTGAATTAGTACTAACAATGGAGAAAGCGTAGTTAATATCAAACATATGAAGTAAAGTTCGAGTCTTGAAAATAAAAAGTGGGTGGTGTCTGTGATACCCTATATTAGTAGATTAGAGGGGTAGCGATTCCGGTGTTCCAAGAAAGTATACGGAGTATAATGCGCTGCTAATATATTGAAACCGCTAGTATAGCCTAAAGTATCTCATAAAAATGTACCCTTTAATATGTTTAGCATCATACATATATAAGAGGATTTGTCTATAATATATTAAAGTATCTGCGCTATTAAGCTAGTGAAAGAAGGCATATATAGAATATTAACTAAAGGAGTTATTATAAGCTTTTCCCAACCTCCAACCTCTTCACAACTAATAATATTTCTAAGAATCTAAGATGTGGCTAAATTTATCTTTGCACCACTATTCAGAACGGGATTCTTCACGTGACAGAGTTAGAGTACTGTCACACTAATCCCCAAACGGCCCTTCCGGTGAACATATGCCTAGCGGCTAAAATCCAAATCCCCCATTGGTAGGAAAGCTGCATACGTAGGATTTCGCCTCACTACTACTAGATCCGAATAATTTATAGATTGACATACAAGACCTCAACTGTTATTATAATCACAATGTCACATACTCTCTCTACCACGGTCTTCTCCATTTCAAGCTATCCACATCGTGTTTACAAACCTTATTACTAGCACACTGCATCCGCCAATGGCAAAATCCAATGACAATTTCCAACCAGCCCGCAAACGCAGGGCTTTGAAATCAGTTCCCGACCACACTCTTTCATGTTTCCGTGTAACATCCGTAGCAAAGCAGCAGCCCCGTCCCCGCAATAGATTTGAGTCGGAGCGGCGGAAGGAAGTAGCGGTCGTTCGGCAACGTGGCGCTTGTCTTCGATGCCGGTGGTTGAAGAGGAAGGTAAGTAAATTAGGTATTGCGTGCATACGTTACGTATTTACAGTACTCAAGGGAATGGAGCTGATGAACGAATCGTTGACGTGTTTGTTATATAGTGCGATGGGAGTGATCCCTGCGGCTCCTGTATGGAACTAGCTTCAAAAGCTGTAGCTACACATTATAGAAGAGCCTTGCGCTTCTCAGATTGTATCAGGACGTTGCTTACAACCGTTAGTATTTTCGAGCAAGGTGAGTATGCTGGTAATCTTAGTACACTAGTCCTCGCACTGATCTCTATCTCGCAGCTCTCCCGCCTCCAGAGATCCGAGAAACGGTCTGGGCAAATGCTACGCATCTGAAACCTTCCAGCCTTAACATCTTGTTCAATACCGGCTTTTTCTGCGACGTTGACTACCCCATGGATGCGCAAATACCGCCGCAAAATGACAACACTATGTTGGTTGTTTCTAGCTTTTCGTCTGTTCAGTTTCTCGAGCTCGTAGAACCAGTCACTGGCAAGAAAACAGCGATTGATTTCCAACGCCTTGTATTTGTTGAGCCGGATGTCCCAACATCTACTAAGGACCTAGCGGAGGACGATGCTCAGTACATTGGGGTGATGACAGGTCACAATTGTCTCCGTTTTCTGGATAAGAAGCTAGCGTCGCAATCCCTTTCATCAAGTTCTGGGGAAGAAGCTAGGGTATTGTTTTATTTGATACTCACCATGATCTCTTCTATCAGTAATCAGCGGCATCCCTCTCTATTCGGACGCTCTTGGTCGGAAAATGAAAATCTGGTGTGTGATCCGTCTCAGCTCCCCACCCCTTCTCTTTTGCTAATACGGAATCTAAACAGGCTCCCGTTGACTTCGCCAGACAGGTAGTATTGTTCGACGCAATGCAACAGCACCTATGCCGTACCCTTGCCCACTACCTGATATTCCTAGCCAGCCATCTAGGACTCCAAATATCAACAAACGCTGAACGGTTCGCTCTCGATGCTCTGCCGCGAGAATGGAAAGCTGTCCTATCCCCTCATATCATGCACAGCTCTAAACTTGTATCTGTTCCAGAGAATCCTCTAACTGGGAGGGACTGTACTACGCGCCGAGTCGATCCAGAATGGCTGCGCTTACAGCTAGATGGCAAGCCTCTTGTCAGTCATAATCATGTGACTGGAAACCTGAAGCTTTTGCTTGAATCGCTCTCTGAGACTTGTAGATCTCAGCTGGGCGCAATAATGAAGACTTCGCCGGAATATGAGAGAAGTATTTAGCTTAGGTAGAAGTTACACATTGCTTTACCGATACGACTTTGCAAGATCTCTATTAAATCCTATACGTTGCCTTCAAGACCGTAAGCTATTCTTCTACCTTTTCTTATATTATATATTTATAGCTATTTTATTTTTTTAAGTTATTTAAACTTTTAATTTAGTAGATAGAT